TACTGACGTTAACATGGACAAGGATTCTGACTGGCTAATGCAGAGGTGCGTGCGTGAAGTGTCTGTATGCTGCCGTGAGGTACTATTCAATTCATTTTATTTTTATGTAGCGCGTTTCACAACAAGGTTGCCCCAAGGCACTTAACAAAGCTGTGTGACAGTACAGTACATGACATTACAATTCAGAACGAAAAAAAGCCAGAAGACAACAAGGAGAGGAACTGAAAACTAGGGTTGACTGCCCATCCCATCATTATACAATTACTATTACTATTCTGAAGCCCAACCACAGACAGCAGTGTTTTCTAACAGAACCATTCAGCAAACACACCAAAACACACCAGCAAACAGGGAGTGCGCTTGTTACATCCTTACTGTGTACCATAAAACATGGATTTGAAGGGGGGAATTATTTCCTAGACGAAGTAATTGAAATGGGATTAATGGGGACACGGAGGAAGGAAATATTCTCATGTACGATTTCTTCATAAGAATCAAAAGTATTTCAATAAAAGTATGGACCAGAACATGACAATTTTACAAAAATGTACATTTACATTTTCAAATATAAACAGAACGCTCCAATAGCCAGTTAAATTGAGCACTTAAATGTAATTTAGCCTAGCTTGAAACATTTTAGAAACACTCAAAATTTGAAAATTGATAATTGTTTGTGTTTTGAGCAATGAACAACATTTTTTAAACATTACATACATTTAAACATTAAATTGTAAAACTTAATGATTGTATCATGTACGTATAGTGCACACGAAGGTGAAAGCAACACTATAAAGTACTTTTAAATTGAACTTTTCTGTACATTATAAAGTATTTTATTATTCTGCTGTAGTACTACAGTACATTGTATTAAATACTAGACAGTATATATGATTTAGAGTGAATATTATACTGTATGGTGTAAAAGTGGTTAATTGTAGTTATTTGTAACTTATCTACCAAAGCAGTCTTTGCTTCTTGGCATTTCTGTGGGCTTTATTAGGGCATTTTGTATTTAGAGGACAAATTCAGAGCACAGAAAAATGCAAAAATTACATATACATCTATACATCTATATTTCAAACAATACAGTAATAATATATAACTTTAGATAATACAACCATCATCTCACAGAAACTCTCAATTTATAACTTATAACTTGATAAAGTGGGTCCTAGAGTTCTTAATTTATACAGTAGGTCTCAACAGGTGTGACATTCACTTCCCTTCCCCTGCATCACCACAGAGCTGTGTCTTGTATCCCTTACTATACATTTTGCACACTTACGACTGTTATCTTAATAAGACACAGACATCTCAATCAGTCTGTTGATGACACAGCCCTGGTCAGCTTATTACAATATCCAAAAAATCAGCATGGGTTCATTCTAAATGATTTGACTAAATGATGTGTTGAGTTCTCTTTGAATTTGAAGTCTCTGGAAATTAAAGGAACATTTTAGGAAAAATGCAACACTCCCCCAACCTACTGTAATTAACAGTCAGATTATAGAAATTGTCAACAACTTGGACTGTACTCATTGACCCAAACATAAGATGTGACAAATGTTGTGGGACTGTTTGTAAAAAAGGCCAACAGAGACTCTTTTTTTCTTAGGAAACTCAGCTATTATAAGATCATTTTATTAGCCATATACAATTTCTAGCATTAGGAATTTGTCTTTTCACATACTCCAGCTTGCTCTCCATGAAACACACAGACACAAAGACAGGGAGAGAGAAGCTTGGGGTCAGAGTGCAGGGTCAACCATTTATACGGTGCCTCTGAAGCAGTTGGGGTTAAGGGCCTAGCTCAGGGGCCCAACAGAGTAGGATTCCTGTGCCAGCTACAGGATTTGAACCAGCAACCTTCCAGCCTAAGGCGGAGATCCTTAGCCACCGTGCCCCTGCTACTCCTAAAATTCAGGTTAGAACTATTTTCTTATTTTTCTATAAGTTATTTATTGAACGTGACTTAATATACTATCTCGCTTGTTGGCTTGGCAACATCCGTATTGTTAATTTTAATAGGCTGGAAAAATTAGTGAAACTAAGTAGGTAAATACTGAAGCCATGGTAACAGCAGAAAGTATGGTTACTTTTTACTTTCTGGTACGTGACTACTGATACAGTAGATATGATACTTTTGTACTTTGACTTTAGTAGTTTTCTTGAATATGGAAACTTTTTACTTATACTGCATTCGTTTTGGAAGCAACAGTACTTTTACTCAGGTAACATATTTCAGTACTTTATTGGAGAGAATCCTCAAATGTAGAATTGATCTACTGGTACCATGAATAGCTAGTATTATTATGGGTTTTGCTTCAAGGGTATTGGGTGGAGCCAAGTATAGAAAATGTCTATTGGCAAAAATTTGTGTAATACTGAAAGATGCAGCAAATAATATTCTTAATATAATTTTTTCATGACCTTTTCCTGTCCAATTAAACTCATAAACCAAATAAAACCTTATACAGTACATATTCCGCATTGCTCCTTTTTTCTTTTTTTTTAACAAAGCTCTGTAATTGTTATGTCTGTCTTAGATTTTTCAATTGTGTTTTAATAGTCAAACACTGTTCTCTCAGCTTACTGTACTGTATATAGCAAACTGCTGGTGGTTCTTACTGACTGATTAAAGGTATGTTTGTGGCTTTAAAGTTTCATTTACTATTTACTATTGAAAATTACAGTATATAAATTTAAATATAATTGTAAAGTCTTAATGAGCTGGAGTGCTCTTCATTTATAGTATTACTAATAATGGAAAATGTTTTCATAGCAAAGGGTGTATATGTCAGATTTATATAAAACTAGTCTTAGTTGAAGATATTTCATACTTATTTTAACAAATAATACTGTACTTCTGGCACTTTAATGTAATTAAAGCACAATCAGAATGGCAGAAATGGCATCTTCAGATGAGTCATTTTGTTTTTAATTGGAAGAAAACAAACTTTTGACACTGTTTATTTTTTCTGCCAGTTTGTGTGTGTAGAAAGAAGAGTTTGCCTAAAACAAGGTTCTTTAACCCTATCATCAGTGTTTAAATTAGACATCAGGTGAATTAATGTTGAGTATTTTGTACAGATATTGTTTTAATATCAGTGGTATCAGACAGGTGATAAAATAATGAGAAAATACTTACATTACTGCAGTTTTAATGTTCAATGTAAGAATATTTCTGGGAAATGTACAAAATGAGAGCAAAATTATTTTGTTAGTGTTTTAAAATGACCACATATTTTCAGGCGCCAAGACAGGAAACAATTCTAGTAAACTATTGAACAATTACACTTCAGTAGCTCAGACAAGCCCAGTGTCTGATAACTGTACATTGTGTTTGATTTTAACCTTACTGCATTGGTAGTGGAATGGAGATGACTGATTATCGCAGAGGAGGAAAGCTGATATTAGCTGAATAGAACTAACATTATTTTCTATTCTGTGTTTTTCTCCCATTTTATGTTTAATTTGTCACATCAGTATTGAATTTGTAGTATCTGCAGACAGCTGGTCAAGTGACTAATAATTATTACTAAAACATTAGCTTGAAGCGAAGTCGTAGCCTTACTGGAAAAAACAGTAGTGAACATTGTATTCTAAATTACTTATTTATATCCTTCTGAAAGCTGAGTGAAATACACACAATAATTATTTAACTCTCTATCCAAAGGTTTAGCCTTGCAAACCAAAGTGTGTTACTTCTCAGAATGTAGCAATTACTGACTTTTCCTGGATTTATTTGAGGTTTGTTGGATCACAAACAATCTTAACAATACTGAATCATTCAGTTAAACTCATTGCCATTTTTCTTTGCTTATTTTGTCATATGACGTTTGCTTAAGTATCGGGTGTGAAGCACTTATAAATTTATTGGAAACTAACATTTGTAACTGGAATTTGGTGTTCTGAATATTTGAATTTATAAGGAATTAAACTGTTGTTTATAAAAGTTTGGGAGATAAAGCGTTACCAGAATTGTTTGTATGAAGGGGGTTTGCAGCGTTAAATACTAGCCCCAAGGGTGGTTGTGTTTATTCTCAGTATTATGGAATGTATGCCTGCAATATGGAATTGCTTTTGCATGTGGGCTCCATTACTATAACAGAGCTTTTATAATCTACTCCCTGTTTAACCTATCGGGCCTTCTATACAGCAGCTACAGTAGAACTGTTTTGCAGGTAAGCTAGTGTAACTCATTTCTTTAAGATTTAAAAGACTTTTACTGGAGGAATCAGTGTTTTTTTATTCCAGGCTGGAGTTACTGTACACTGCCAAAAACATTTTGAAGTGAATAAATTAGGAACAGAATTTTAAAGCTTTTATGCATTTTTTATACTTTTTATCACTAATATCAAAATACAGGAGATTAGTGTATGTGACTCTGTTTGAAGTGTTTTGTCCTGTTTTCTGCATGGATTCTAAATAGCACAGAAGAGATCTCGTAAGATGTGAAGTAGAATGAGCACAATATTATTTATGGCTCATTAATATCCAGCCACATCTGGTGTGAATTTGCCCTCCTAGCATTTAAGATGTTTTTGTGTGATTTTGATTTTTTTTAAATTTGAGTCTGAGTTCTTGGATTAAGGCACTATTCTCTGTAGTTTAATCACAGTTTGCTGTGGCTTTTACTTTTTTGCATTTGCTATCTGTGATATAGTTCTAAATCTTCAAAAATCATAATAATCTACTTGGTATGTACTGTAGTTTTACATTTGTATTATTTATTTTGTGATATTCTGACACTACTTCAAAAAGCAATTACCATCCCCAAATTATATTGAAGATTTTTTTGTTGTCTAAAGTCTTAGAGGATAAAATGTGTTTAAGATAATTGAAAAAAAGAAAGTTAATTTTTAATGTACTTTTTAAATTTAATTTAAGTTTTAGGTTTCTAATGAACTTCTAATGAAAACAACTTGTAAATCTTTTCTGGTTTGACTTACTTTATTGCTTAAGTTTCCTATAATCTTGTGATGTGTGATTTTTTTCAGGGAGATATCCAACAGTTATTGATAGTACCAGACCACCGGGCAGCATATGACTACTGTGAGCACTACAGCCCGGACTGTGAAGTACCTGTTCCAGAATCCCCACAGTCTCAGGACCCCAACCCAGATGAATATGTAAGTAGAGAAAAAAAGGAAAAGAAAATGTCATTATACTGTATATACAGTATATATGTAGTGTCATGCAATTGTGAATTCAAAAGGTTAAATTCATGAAGGATGGCCATTTTCAAAAGTGGTAAAATTCACTGTGCCATTTCACAACCTACCACTGCATCCATTTTCTAACTTCTTCATCCAATTTAGCATCACGGAGGAGCTGGAGCCTATCCCGGCAAGCATTAGGTTCAAGGCAAGAAGCACCCTGGACACACATTCACATCAGGGGCAGTTTTTCCAGAAGCCAATTATCCTACCAGCATGTCCTTTAACTGTGAGAGAAAACCAAAGTACCCCACGAAAACCCACACAAACACACGGAGGCTGTACAGACTCCACTCTCACAGCACCCCAGGTCCAGAATTGAAGCCAGGGCCCCAACGCTGACAGGCATCAATGCTAACTACTGTGCCACTCTGTATGGTCTACCATGTTTTACATATCATTACACAATGGACATTTGCAGCTATTAAATATTATTTAGTTAGGTTTTATCTGTTCATAACTGAAAAACACCATATGCATGTACACTTGGCCTTTTTAAATGTTATTTCTACTCGAGTCATTGTACTGGTAAGTTACCTCTGGACTGATAGCCTGAAACAGTTTCTCATACATCCATTGTTTCATGTCAAATGAGTAGTTCTGAAGTATTTTTCAGGTGGTTTAAAAAAACTTACTGAAGGGAGAAGAAATACATACAAAATTCTATGTAAAGAATTAAAATGCTGACTCTTCTATATGTTTTTAAATAAAAAAGAAATATGCAGACATTATGATAAAACCTGCTTATGCTTGCAATTTGTGGCTCCACGCCAGAAGAAGCTTCTTAGAAGCATGATTGTTTATGATATTAAAACCAAAATAAATCATGCTGCCTGTACAGGTACCATAGCTTGACATGTACAGTATATAATCCTCAGAAGTGCTGATGAACTGTGGATGCCTCTTTCCATTCTTCTGTTGTTTTGAGGATTATCATGGTTCAGTTTGTTTTAAGTTTTGTTTTAAGTCTTTTTCCTGATAGGTCTATGCAAAAAACAAGTGCTTGGACAAGCAAAAGCTGTATTTTAAGTCTATAAAAATATATAGAGATTTACTTTACCATGCACCCACTGTATGACTACTGTTATACTGTAAACATTTCTGATTTTAAGGTTCACATGAATTTTTAATTGTGGGCCCAGAAAGAACTAAATAACCCATTTACAATAGCAATACACTGTGTACACTGTGTTTTGGGAAAAAAAAAACTTTTATTCTTTATACTTTAGGCAGCATTGGGCTACTGTATATCTACTGTAAATACAGCCAACTCTGTGGTCAGTTCAATCCTGCACTAGTTCAATCCTGCACTTTATCATTACCTGGCTGTGACAGGGATTCCCTAAATATTGGAACCCAGTTTTATGTGTCACCAGGCCTGAATGGGCTACATTTTGCATTAAGACTTCCTATATACGGTGGATATAAAAAGTCTTCACACCCTTATTGAAATTGCAGGATTTTGTGATTTAAAGCCAGAAGTCAAGATAAATCATATCAGACATTTTTCCATCTTTAATCTGACCTTGCAAGAGAAAATTCAAGAGAAAAACAACTAGATAATTATTAGGAAAAATATTTTAAATTAAAAACCCACAACAAGGGTGTGTAGACTGTACATGTTATCCTATAGTGGGAGATGCACTACTCCTTACATTGTGTAAAATCCTAAGACAGTGGGTGTGTTGGAGGAGGAAATGCATGAGTCCATGTTATGTCTGTGAACTTTCAGGAGTGGCAGCAGTGAAGCAAGTAGATTTACAATTCAGAATTTGAAACTGACAGGGTTTAAAATGCACACATCTTGCCGATTAATATGTATCCTATGTATGGGGTTTTCAGAATTAGTAATTGCAACAATTTTATTTGTTGTAAAACTTAATGTAACTCTTGTTCTATTAGGCCATACATAGCATGCTTGCTTTTGTCTTTCCTTTAGAACGTTGATGAAGAAAGCTATTATTATGAATACCCCTATTATGAAGACATGGATATTGATGGAAAGCCTACAGAACCATCCCCATCACCAGCTGCAGAAGAGGTATGGAAGATCTGAGGAGGGGCTAAATGTAATGATTAAGAGAAAATAACAAAAGTATAAAGGTGATAGGATTGGGGTTAAAATATGCACCAAAAACTGCAAAGACATAAAATGGTATGATTTCGTATTGTATAATATGTATATTATTACTGAAAAGCAACTTAATATATGATATAGGTCAAATATATGCCTCACAAAAATTGCATATATAATATTATATATAATATTTTACTAAGTATAATGCACAATATAATATATTCTAATATAAATTATTGACAAAAATAATCCTTATATTTTTGCTAACCATGATATATTTTAGTATGTCAGTGATAAAAATGTTTTTAATGTAATGCTTTACCAGTTTTCCCCCTAGAAAAGACTTTTGGAGTTTATTATAAATGTAACAAAAAACACAAAGTTCTTACATTACTACAACAAGAATATTGCTTGTGACAATCTTTCTTTGCTATTTCTTTGATATATAGTGAGACTATTTTGCAACCTGCTCAAATTATTTATTTTTTCTGTTGTCTGTTTTGCTGTCAGGAAACATCTTATGTCAATCAAGGAGAAGGAAAAATAGAAACAAAAGTTATTGAAGGTTCAGAAGTAGAGAGTCCAACAGAAGCACCTTACAAGGAATCAGAATATCGAGAGTATGATGAAACATATGAGACATATTACGATGAAGCAACTACAACTCCAGTTATTGTAGATGCCAGCGTGGATCAAGGCTCCAGAGTTACAGTTGGTTCAAATGTGGATCTGGGATCAAGGATAATTGTGGGATCAAGTGATCTCGGTACTGGAGTGGACCTTGAGAAAAAGATTGAAAGTGGTGACACTAGTACTTCTGTCACTGTTATACAGAATGGCACCCGAGTGAGTACATTTGATTTTGCTGCATCTGAACATGCTCTTATCAGACTTTCAAATAGTTAAAAATGCAATTAAAAAGGTTTCCAAAGTCCCTGAATGTTTCATATTCCAGTGTCTGGTGTAGCATTCTTCTTAGCATGATTTTCTACTGTTTTATCTTTCATTTTTAAACATCTCCACAGAGAAATGATCTCATCTGTAATAAATGGACAACTGGAAATAACATCTAAAGCACATTGAATATTGCAATGAAGCTTGACTAGGCTTTTAGTAACCCTGCTATGTTTTGTTTTCCTGTACAGACGGGGAGTAGGATCACCATTGGATCATTTGGCCAAGGAGGAAACTATGGTGAAGGCTATGGTGAAAGCTATGGGGAAGGCTATGGTGAAAGCTATGGGGAAGGGGAGTATGGTGAGGGGGGTTATGGAGAAGGGGAAAGATCTGGTCAAGGAGGTGAGCTCAGTCCGGGTGGAGGTGAAGGCTCTCAAGAAGGCTATGGCCAAGGTGGTGGAATTACTCAAGGAGGAGGTACCTCACACAGTTCTGGAACAGGTCAAGGAGGAGGGAGCTCACATGGTTCTGGTCAAGGAGGAGGGAGCTCACATGGTTCTGGTCAAGGAGGAGGGAGCTCACATGGTACTGGTCAAGGAGGAGGGAGCTCACATGGTACTGGTCAAGGAGGAGGGAGTTCACAGGGAGCAGGGGGCAGTCAAGGAGGCACAAGGACAGGAGTGACTGACGAAGAAGAATATACTGACCAGGAATTTACTGCAGAAATCATAAAAGAACTTGATAAGGAATATACAGACCTTTATGACTATGGTGATGCTAGTGAATTTGAAGATGTTCATAAAGGTTCAGCATTGCCTGCAGAAACTGATGATTTTTATGGACAGGTATGTGTTTTGTCTTGTTCTATAACAAGTTGGTTCTGTAAAACATGTCTCATTCTTGGCACAGTCAAAATATTTCTGGCTGATGGAAGACAACATGGACTGTTAAGGCATTGATAAAGGCACTGTGGTTAACATCTCTCAATCTTTTCTGTACTTAAATGTTTGAGAAATAAGAAAGTAAACAAGATTGTTTAAAATGGTTAGCTTCAAGTAGTGTTTCTAGCCAGATCAATGATATACTACTAAGGGATCACAAGATCCTTGTAATGCATATGCTTTCTGCACTTCAGAATTCCATAATTTCTAATTTCATTTTCATTTTATTCTTTAAAAAGTTTTCTTGCATTTAGATGATATTATAAATATTATTCAAAGGGGAATACAGTATGTATTAATTTCATGGTTTTACACATACTGGAACACATAAAGAAATGCTTGTCTTATGTCCAACAATATGTTAATTAAGCTGTATACTTGTCAGGAACCCAGAAGGTGATGTCATGCATGATGTCAAGATCAGTTGTAGAAAATTAAAAACAATAACAGATGTATAGCACCTATAAAAAAGAAGAATGAAGCAGTTATACTGAATAAAACTTTACAAAAAGCTGAAGTTAGAAATATTGATCACGTGTTGATCTGTTACAGGTTGATGGAGCAAGGGGGGAGAAAGGACAGAAAGGAGAACCTGCAATCATTGAACCTGTAAGTATCACCGCTCATTTATTTTGGGTCTGAAATCCTATATTTTGTGTGATATGTGAGATTAAATATATTTGAAGTTAGATAATACCATTATACAGTATTTAAGGATAAACTTCTGTTTAAAGTTAGTTTAATGAGATTTTTATTGGGTTAAAGAACAAGCTGTGTTTAAACACACCATAACAAACTCTAAGATACTGAAACTGCCTTTTTATCATCCAAATTCAGCCTGACCAATCAAGTGAATAAAGACTCTAGCTGTGATTGTTTTATATGTACTGTGCATTGCACTGCACTAAGCCTTGAGAATACAAAATACACAGACTCTTTTCTTGTGTATCTACTAACCTGAAGGTTGTATATTCTTGGCACAGAAACATAAACATTTGTACACAGATTTTCAGAGTTTACCCTGACTACTTCTTTTAAGGTTTTTGAGTTATCTCTCATTTATAAACAGAGCTAATAAGCCAGTAGGGATGAGTAATAAACTGTGAGAAAGCATGGAAGAATAATATCCCAGGCTGTATTTAATACCATGTACTGCTACTATACTGCTAAAAGAAGGGCATTCTATCACAGCATAAACATAATCAAATATTTTATCTTGTTTTATATTATATGGAATTAGATACATGGGCCAGGTGTTATTGTTTGAATGTATTCCCAAGAATTCTCATTAAACATGCTGAACAGGCACATTACATTAGATGTAAACCTGTCCTATGCATAACTGTTTGAACACCATCCCCTCCTTTCCGAGGCACTTCATTTCCTTTGCAGTTCCATGAGTGAAACAGATAAAACTGAGCAAGTCAAGAAAAGGCTAGCAAATAAGCCCTCTTCTAAGCCCTATTTCACTTAAGGTGCAAAATACAGTTTTTAACAGTATTTAAAATATTAAATAGTAAAAAGGGAATGTTATCAGTGCAGTTAATCCTTAGGTTATATTTGAAAGGTTGATGTTAGTGAAATACAGTAAATGGAGATGCAGACCTTTATACCTTTGTGGGCATGGAAGGAAGATGCATGAGCCTTGCATACAGGTGCTGTCACAATAAATGTTTGTCTTGATAAAAAATATGCAATAAATCTTTTTGTCGATTAAAAATAATTTACAATGCACAAATTGAAAACAAAAATAGCTGTTCTGCTTTATTGAACCCTTAAACACATTATATTAAGTGTTGGAGGCTGGAAGAGGGAGAGAGACATTTATCATTTTAAACATCTTTGAAAATATCCAGCTGCTATTACGTATTTAACAAACTCTGGAATTTAACAAACATGGACTGGGGATCAAGTTACAGATGTAACGTCACCCCCCTTTGAAATTTAGGCAGTGTGAAACTCTGCTGCCTCCCAGGATTATATTCTCTGTCTATGGAATGGGGATCAGTGTCAAATCCCAGCAGGAGCTGGGAGAGCTGCACTTGTCACATAGATTCTGTGTACCCTTAACCATGCCATGTAGATTCACCACTGTCTCAATACTTAACAATATATTTAGTTTATACCCATAATTGCCATAGCTATATGGACTGAAATAATATATTATTTTATTTTCTAAACTCCGCAATAAATAGCGTCCACTCTTTAAATTTTTAGAACTAATTAAAATAACATAATACTGACAACACACACACAACTAGCCTGTCTATTGACTCTACAGTATACTGTAGCCAACTTTATGTTCAGAGGCTTTCATAACCTTCTCACATACTCTCTAGGAATGCTTTTGATTAATTGTTCTTAGGTTTTGTTGAGGAATTCCAAACAATATGGTGCCAACAAACAAAATTTTTCCTGTTTTTAGTTACAGTATTAAGTAAAGCTAGGATTACTTAATAAGCTTATCTGAGAGATTTTTAATAAAAACCTTTGACAGGGTCTTGATCGAAACTGTGTACAATCAGACACAGCAATTAAGTGTCACCGTGAATTCTAAATTCTATAATAAAGATATTATTAAGACATGCTCAGTAATGTCTCCATAATGCTGAGCACTAAACTGTTTGTTATTTGGTACGACCATAGGATTGCATCTAAGCAACAAATTGTCATTTGTATTCATTTTTGGTATATTTTTTCTTTATATTGTTTATTGATTCTTGAAATGAAATGAAACGTCTCCAATTACAAATTGTGAAATACAGCAGTTGTATTTGGAAATTGTAACCTGTCCCTAAAAATTTGGTGTCACCAACCCCCCACATTTGTGAAGGATGAGCCAAAGTGCTGCTGCAAGGACAAAATGGGGTGGACGGATGCATATGAAATTAAATGTACAAGCGGATAAGATAGAAACATACTATTTAAACATAGGTAAGTGGAAGTCGGTGAGATTAGGGTTTTTCCAGACCCTCATTTAAAACTTTATTCCAAAAGAAAATGGCTTTCTATAGTACATTCATTTTTTGATTTATGTATTTTTGTGTTTTATATTCCATCCATCAATTATCTAACCACTTCATCCAATTCAGGGTCACAGGTGAGCCAGAGGATATATCAGCCAATAACAGGTGCCAAAATAGGGTATATGCTGGTTGCCACACTGGTCCAGTGCAAGGAAGACACAGACATAGACACACACTCACACCAGGACCAGCTTTTTTCAGAAACCAATAAACATTCCAGTATGTCTTTGGTCTGTGTGAGAATACCAGAAGACCTGGAAGAGACCCAAATGAACATGGGGAGAACACAGAAACTAAACATTTGTAGCACAACAGGTCAGAATTGAACCCAGGGACCCAGTACTGCAAGCAAGGCAGCAAAAGCTAAGCACTATGCCGCTGTGCTGCCTGAGGTATATTTCCTCTAAATTACTAATACTTAAATACTGCTTGTCATGGTTGCTTCCATCTTACTGATTTTACAGGGATCGACATGACAATGAACAATAATATGAAACCTTTTCAAGATAGGATTGCAATGGGATTTTTTTAAATGTGAGTTGATGTACTCCTAAATATATTTTTTTAAATGGGAATTATGTGTCGAACACAGTACCTGTATACTGTACTTGCATACAGCAGCTGAGACACTTGGTGTAACAAAAGGCGTATACTGTATGAACATTCACAAGCCTCATTTTCATACAACTTTATCTGTTTGCATTTTAAAATCTCGATAACAAAATCAAATCATTGATGGTATGGCAAAATTAGACAAATATTAAATTAAGCACAAATTGATGAGCTTTGTGAAAATACCGTAACGCTGCCATGTTTTGGCAAAATGCACAAATGAGAGCAAGAGTTCCCATAATTGTTCTGTTTGGTACCATAATTGGTCTTCTGTTCTGTATTGACAAAATGTATTGTCAATTGTATTGTTAAGCGCCTTGGGACAACCTTGTTGTGAAAGGCGCTATATAAAAATAAATTGAATTGAATAATTGTCACTGTGCGGCCCTTCCTGCTCACTAGTCCCTTGAACCGCAAAAGGAAACTCGGTCTCTGAACAACTTTGATCATTTTTTATATATTTTAAATGATGCGTCAATGTCAAGCATTTGCCTGTGCAGTAGTGATCACAGAAAAAATAGATGATCAGATAAGCAGAAAGTCAGACTGTTCCCTTCCATCAATTGGCCGAGGGATGGGTAATTAAGATAGGCACTGATGTTGGTCTGATCAACAAGTTTCTAGACAGCATTCAGAGCGATGTATAAGTAAATAAGTACAGGCTGTGAGGTAGGCATTTCATCCCAGAAATGTCCCAATGTAATCTGCAAACTGAGTTAAATTTGTCTGCAAAATCATCTTGAAGTTGACATGTTTAATTCAGTTGTACTCATTTAAAAATAAAGCATCTAAAAACATGAAAACGCCTCGAATGTGTCGGTTTCATAATTTTAAATATAAAGTAATACAATAGTAACATTCGCTTGGTCTACTACATAATTTCTTGATCTATTTCTGTTGTAATAGAGCGCAGCACAGTTAGTTTACATTATTTTCAAATAGTTTAGAAATATTTTTGCATACTCAAAATTTGAAATGACATCCTCAGCAATTCCAGTAAGTACTCCAATTGATCTTTGACAATATGGCAGGAAATTGATGATGTATTGTACAGTATTTTAGTAACTCTTATGCTCTTATAACTCGAAGAAATTCTAAAATAATCTTTCCACAAAGGAAAGGGTAAAGATTTATTCCAAGCTCACAGGGAAAAAAAAAAAACAATGTTTTAGCTGTGGGGCTTCCTTCGCATGTACCTTCTTCATTCACCTGGAAACTTTTTATCTCTTTTTCTCCTTTCAGCTCGGAATAAAACTTTACTCATTGCCGATTTAAGTCAATGTGTTCCTGAGGTAGACAGAGGCACCGGCGCTGAGAGCAGCGTGGCAAGCTTAAAGGGCTACTTTTTAATATGCCCAGAGAGCAAAAAAGAAGGAAAAATATCACTTGAAAAGCACTTGCGCAGATGCTCTGAGAGCAAAAATAAAAATAAAAATAAAAAGAATAATGCGCTGCGCAAAAAAAAAGAATAATGTTTGCTGAGGAGCAGAGAAAGGCACCTTGGCTGTAAAATAACCTTGGCGAGGTTATGACTAAACACCATGTAGCTGCATGAGGAATTCTTACAGCTGAGCCGAAATCGGTTACAGCTGCAGTCGCTAATGCATTATTAAGGGCTATTGAAGTATAGGAAAAAATAAGGGTGGGCTTACAGCGGAGCTTTTATAATAATAATAATCGCTTTTCTGGACACTCCACTCAAAACGCGTTACAGGTAATGGGGACTCCAATCCACCACTACCAATGTGCAGCATCCAGCTGGATGATGCGACGGCAGCCAAAGTGCGCCAGAACGCTCACCACACATCAGCTATCAGTTGGGAGGATAGCAAGAGTAATGAAGCCAATTCATAGAAGACGATTTTTAGAGTAAAAAATACACTCTGCTGTGCCACACCATTCATTTGCGCCCTACTCATTCTGATGCAGCTGCTTACTCAAATTTCTTAAGAATTGTCAAAGAATTAAAGAGCTACCTTGCCAGCAGACACATTGCCATGCAATTTGCAACTGGCAGCTGGCAGCCCGCTGATGGAGGTGTGAGCCTGGGCAGTACCTGGATGGGAGACCTCCTGGGAAAATTTAGGTTGTTGCAGGAAGAGAAATTAGAGGTGTCAGCAGGGGGGGCTCACCCTACAGTCTGTGTGGGTACTAATGCCCCAGTATAGTGATGGGTACAATACACTGTAACAAGGTGCCGTCCTTCGGATGAGACATAACATCAAGGCTCTGACTCTCTGTGGTCATTAAAAATCCCAAGGCGTTTCTCAAAAAGAGAAGGGTGTAACCCCAGCATCTTGACTAAATTTCCCATTGGCCTTTACAAATCATAGTTCAGGTGGGTAGCTGTGTCAGCATGCGTAGGCTGCAAAGGAACAAGTAAGAGGTTTATTCCATGCTGAAAAGAGAAGAAAGAAAACACAATGTTTCGGCCGTGGAGCCTTCTTCAGGTGTGAGAAAGACAGGGCAGTAAGCAAAGGTAATGTAGCAGGAGAACACTAATCTCTCCGTCTGTGTTCTCAAAGACGGTTTTCCAACTCATACATCAGAAAGACTACCGAAACTAAAACTATCCTGCAGCTAGGATCACAACTTCCCCCTTCTCTTAATGACAGACTACTTTTCTTCTAAATTCTCTCTATTCATTGTAGGTTTCATTTCACACCTCTCTTCACCTATCCTGACTTCACACCTCCTGATTGGCCTCTCTTTCTGTCCCCTGCTCCTGCCCCTCGCTCCTCCTCTCTCCCAGCTTTTGTTCTCCCGCTACATTACCTTTGCTTACTGCCACCTGAAGAAGGCTCCACGGCCGAAATGTTGTGTTTTCTTTCATCTCTTTTTAGCATGGAATAAACCTATTACTTGTTCCTCTACAAATCATGGCCTCCTAATAATTCCCATCTATGTACTGGCTTCATCACTCTGTTCTCCTCCCCACAGATAACTGATGTGTGGTGATCGTATTGGCACACTAATGCTGCTGTCGCAATGGAGTCCCTATTATTATTATTATTATTATTATTATTATTACTACTACTACCTTCTACTACTACTACCTTGTTGTCCACTGTAAATTAAGATGGACTCTTGAAAATAAGTTTGGAAGTTTGATAATTACACCACACATCAATATCCCTCAGACGAAAATCATAATTGTTGTATTCGTAGTCGGATATTGAAAATCAAGGAGACGCATGTCTTTTTTTTTTCTCTTGTCTTTGTTTCGTTGCTTCTTCCTCACTGGCTTTATGATCCATTTCATCTTGCTTATATTTGGGGTCAAATAGATTTCCTTGCACTTCCATCAAGATTGTTCTTACGACTAATTGTAAAATTTCCATTGGATTAAAAGAAACATACAGTATTCACAAGCCTATTGTTTACAACGTAGTACGGCTGCAACACGTCACTGGAAGTCTTGCTGCCTCATTCTGAATCGCAGAATATGGCTTTGCACATACTTGGAATTTTTTTCTGTTTTGTGATAGAAATAGGATATTGTGTTTAGAAATGTAGTCATTAATGCTGATTATTTTAAACCCCAAAATATAAAAATATCATGGCAGTTCCCCTTTAAAAATAGATGCAACATAATGTTTGTTGTGAATGACTAGAAGACTAGTTATAAAAATGCAATTCTCAATTTTTCTCTTGAAATGAAAACTCTATAGAGGTGTCATATGGCACAGCATCTTCTGTAAATCTTATTCAACTTTAAAGATAGGTGTGCTATCTATAGCCTATGAAGCCAGTATATCAGCTAACTATTACTGTACATCTGAATTCCTTTTCCTCAAGCATTCTGTAAACCTTAAGATGTGATATTTTCCCACACATCTCTGTAGCTCCAGCAGAGGCTATCGACATTTGTGTTTCAGAAGGCTATATGTTGTGTTATATTCACATCCATAACTATATCATGATACAGTTAACTCTGATCACGTATAACACAATTATGTTATTTAAATTGTCTCATGTGTAATCAATACTCATACTGGATTATGCTAATTACTACTACTGAATGAAATGGAAGGGTGCTATGTATTATTGTTTTCACTATTTGGAACAAACTTAATATTTATAATCTGCTACACTAAACAATAGCTTGTAGTTGTATGAATGCATTATTTGTATGTTGAATTCTTTAAACAGTATTCGGTAAAACAAAACTGAATTGGAATTTTGCAAATCAAAACGTAAGTAGTGCGATGTAAATGAGTGGTATGTGATCATAGTGCAGTTTAAAAATTGAGTGATTGGACAGATACAGCAGCAAACACTTTGTAATGCCTAGTACACTAAGACAAGTCCTTGCTACAATGCCAAATGTTCCTGCACAGGATCTGGGGTTCAGGTTCAGGGGTTCGAACCCAGCTGAAAAGAGTTTTCTTTTAACAAATAAAAAATTATTTGAAAATCTAAAATAGCAAATATTATGGACACTATTGACATTTTTTATATTTCTAAATATCACAACATGTTCAAAGCTAAGTGATTGATTAATAACAACGAATAATTTCAAACTGCTACTGTACTGGCACTACTGTCGTTATTACTGATAATAAATATTATCGACACTACTGTATATTGGATTTGTTGATATTTCTAAATATCACAAAATGTTCAACATTCACATCCTTGCAAAACAATCATGACATTCTCATCCAATCTAAGGTTTGATGTTTTTTTTTATTTTGAAACCGTGATCTTGACATGCAGGTGTGAAGTAGGGTTAACAGCTTCAGATTTAAAAGGTTATTAATAATATCTTTTGTGTCGCATTAACATTGGAATGTTCTTCCAAGTGTAAAAAGAGGCGATACACAACATGTCTCCTCTATAAATTTTTTAGTTTACAGACAGACTGTCCAAGGTCATTTATTATGAATAATATCTTCCATATCGCATTCAAATTGGAACGCTTTTAACAGGTGTAAATCCACCTATTTTCTAACTGCTTTATCCAGGACAGGTAAAAGTTTCATCCCTCCTCCTTCCCTCTGTCTGTCTGACCTGTTCCCATTTTTGACCATTCTGTGCCCCAACAGAAGTAGAGCTCAGATAGAGTCAGGTATCTGTGAGCTCTTGCATTTCATTTCATTTACACTATTTGATGGAATCCTGAATGATAACCTGTCACTTTAGAGTAGACTGTATACACTGTACATCTTTCTTTCATGCAATGATACATCTTTATATAGCCACTAATATGTACCTTAAATAAACTTGAAGAAGCTACACTTCTCAAAGTGGTCAAGTGTGCTCTGTACATGAAAAATCTTGACCTTAGCAGGTAGTTTCAACAAACTGTTTGGAGCATTATCAGAAACAACAACAAGTACTTTGCAATTCAAATTCCTCAATGCAAAGACATTTTGCCAAGTTTTACAATATGGGTTTCCACAGAGTGATACAGAGTGCATATTCTGCTTGGTACCAACAGCTGAAATAGAACTTTCCAATATGACTGTGAAAACTGTCTCACTTAACCATTTGAAAGGAAGATCTCATGGAATCATTTCTGTAGTTATTTCAGGTAAACTGTTGGCTTTTTGTGAGATGACAATTACACGAGTAAAAGCTCTAATCTAGCTGGCATTGTAGTGACGGATCCTTCACTGAGTGATGGGTGTGCTTCAGTGGAGGATGATTTAGGATAGTTCCAATTCCATACAATGCTTCCAATTCAGCTTCTTTTTTAAAAATCTCAAACAGGACTTTTCTTTTTAAATTTCAACATGACCATGTTAAGATTTTTGTCTGCAATAAGAAAGCTGCACTATATGAGAAAGCTTGAAAGCCATCTTCTAATATATGGGAAAGACAGGAACTTTTAGAAACTTTTAGAAAATTGTATTTAAACAAAAGTCAGTTTTAAACTAAATAATTTAGTTGTGTTAACCATTTCAGCATGTAAATACATATCCTAAGCAAAACATGGATTTTGGTATTTACTGTGAAATATTAAGAAAAATTCTAGTCTACTAATCTTCATTTGCATGGTATGACTAACATATTTCAGATCTTAAATTCTAGTCATTGTGTCATAATTTCCCTGGTCATTCACATATTACAAAAATGAACATACTAAATATTATTTACTCCCTGATCTAAGTATAATTTCATTAATAAAGTAATATTCCTGAACCAACCTGATTTATTTTTCCCAAATAGTTCACACTCTCAGGTATTTAGTCTTCCATACCTGGCTCTTATTACAGAACTTTTGCAGGATTGGCACTGAATAAAGCAACAGGTACAGTAGAATTCAGCAGAAATCTGGAACAGTACATCAGTATAGTACATCGTACGTTGTCCCTTGGATCATTTCTACTTACCTTTTCAAAAAGGAGTAATCTGATGCATTTGATTTTTTCTGACACCCTCTAAAAGATTAATTGCATTTATCATTTGTCAAATCTAAAATTTATATGAACTTTCTTTGTTCTCTTCTCTTACAGGGAATGCTTGTAGAAGGTCCACCAGGTCCTGAAGGCCCCACAGTAAGTGCCTTGCCTGGTTCCCTAGAGGAATTGGCCAAAGGAAATCAGTAATTCATTTGCATACAGCTGTGCTCTCTTTTTGTTTCTCTCTTTTATTCATTCCATATTAAATGCTGTGCACTTTTCTGCCTCTCTACAGTTGTAATTAATAGAAATTTGATAAGTTTCACTCACTCTTTTGTCATGGCAACACAAAAGCATTTGAAAAGTTGAGAGTGAATTTACAATTTAAGTGTTTAATTTTTTTCCTTTGCTAATGCTTCCCTGGAGGAAGAAAGTAACTGAAATATAGTAATTAATAATTATATTTATCTTGGTATGATACAGTGCATTGTACATGCACAATGTAGGGAAGTATTGGAGCACAGTTGTAAAATAGATGTTGTAGAAAAATGAGCAAAGATGTCAGAATATATTTGTTTTAAATAGTGTGTTTTAGCTTAGATTACAAGTACTATGTTTTTGTTAGAGTAACACTCTATAATTATGTGGTAGGAAAACTTCTGTAACTTTTTCTAACAAAATATCTGTATGAAAAGAGAAAAGTTTATATGTTTGTATGTAAGAACCCCTTGGCTGCCTTCTTCCTCATCACAGACATAATCTATCCATTAACAGAGCAGGAAAGTAAAATGTCATTTTCCCCATAGTCAAATTTTATTAACTAATTACAATTTACAGGTATAATTTCCCTTCTTTTGATCACAGGGTCTTCCAGGCCCCCCAGGTCTGCCTGGTCCCCCTGGCACCTCTGGAGATCCAGGAGAAAGAGTAAGTGGAAAACACTTAGACATAAGTGGCGACACGATTAGGTTTTCAGTTCTGTCAAATAGCACTCAATAAATATCAGGCAAACTTTTAACACTCAGAGTTGATGGCTTGTATAGCCCATTCAGCTGGAATAATGATGATCATTGTAATTCATTTCTCATTATGAAATATTAATTGTAGGGCCTTTTGGCCAGGAATGTTAAGCAGCATTCCTCTGTCTTTCTACAAGCGTCTTCACCAGTGCCATCTGATGTTTGCAGTGATTTAATTAATACTGTCATTTTCACACTGGTTATTCAAAACATAAATTGACCTAAGGGTAACATCATGTTCCATTCCCTTAATTACTGTATGAATTAAGAGATCTTGGAGGGGTAAAGGCCACAAGACACTGTAAGCTGGGAGGAAATATTTTCGACAAGCAGTTGTGTCTTAGCTTCTATGTTGATTGTTGTAGAGAGATAGTTTTTTCCACAAATAAAAATAAAATTAAAACTTGTATATAGTTTTAGATTTTGTTCATAATTCTGGTGTAGTATTATTTCCTTAATTTTGTCAATCAGATAAAATAATAATGGTACATGCTTTTTTCTTTGTGGTTAGGTTTTCTCTCAGGAATCATTCGTATAGTTTGGGATATTAAGCTCTAAATACCATACTATGGATGATGTGAATACATTTCTGCTACAGAAGAGATATTTATTATTCAATTTTTAATGCAGGGTTCTTTTTCAGATGGCCCTTTCAGTTTCAAGTGTGCTTTCATTGTAACATACAGTATTGTCTGTAATATTACATTTCTTAATTTATGTCGCGTTTAATTTACACTTTATTTTTAGTAATCATTGCTTTCTTGCTAATTTTGGTTAGCGATATTAAAGGCATGTGACTTCCCAGTGAGAAACCCATTTAGTCCTCTGAAGGTATTGAAGGTCAGGAAAAGGGTCTGGAGCTGGTTTCTGGCAAAGTTGACAGAAGCATGTGATACTCCTGGAACCCAGCTGTGTTGTTCTCCGATATAGAGCCATGAACTAAAACCTAATGAATGTAATTTGTAATTTACAGGATGTAGGTCCTTCACTAGCTGAAAATCCAAAACCCTCAATTAATAAAACTAAAATGATTAATATTTCTGTGACATTGCACAGTAGAATGTAATATGAAGAAACACATTAGGCAAATGACAAGGGGTTTCATACCCCTTGGGCATTGGTTTTAGGTCACCTTGACTGTATACTTTTTTCTAGGGCTAAATCTTTCTGCCAGATACCACTTTCCCACGGGTATTTCAAATAATGCTGGAAACAGAGCCTAAAAAAGAGTTCCTCCTTTCAGTTTTGGGATATTTTGTGTGAGGCCCTTCGGAAAAAAAGACTATCTTCCTCCCACTCAGAGCTGCAAGATGTATGATTGATAGGTTTCCCAGAACAATAATAAGTTTATATTACTTTAAAGGAAACTCAGCTGCATCATCCTTTATAGTGTTTGTGATATCCCTAAATCTCTGAAAAACCCACTTTACTATTTCATTACCATGTACTCCTATCTTCTGAGGCATTTCAAGAGAAAGTACTTATCTTTAGTCTTTTTTGTCTGATATTAAAACTATAAACAGAATGTAGGACCTTCATAAAATGTGTTCAGTAATTAACAAAATTTAATAAAATCATATACAAAAAACCTGATAGCCATTATTCTATTTTTTTTCTCCAGTTACAGTGATTGTACTTCTTTGTTCTGTTTTTAAACATGCCATTAATCATTGCAATTCTGTTTTTAAAAGAATGGCACTGAAGACTGTATACAGGCTTTGTGCCTCCAAACAAGTACAGTATATCTGTTTTTTATTTCACCACCATATTTAAATCATAAAGTTTTTTCAATTAATTCAATTAATTTTCAAAAAGTTTGTAAAACCTTAAAATTACAGAGAAATTTACCTCGCTAGAGATATAGCTATGCTATAGAGAGATTATATTATTTTAGTGAATTTGTCCTAGTGTCTCAAAACCTCTCTCTCATCCTAGTGTTAATCCCGCATCAGCAGGGTCCGCTTGTCGACACGCCCGTCTCCATTTGGTGGTTTGAACCAAATCTTTGAGCTGACGTTGCCATTAAATGTGACTGAGAATACTCCAACCGGCACATTGCTCCGCCTGCCGTCGGAGGGGGGGGAGGAGAACAAAGTAATGTAGCCAATTCATAGATTTTTAGGAGGCATGGGAAATTTGGCTAGGACGCCAGGGTTACACCCCTACTCTTTTCGAGAAACACCCTGGGATTTTTAATCACCTCGGTTTTACGTCTCATCCGAAAGACGGCACTCGTTTTACAGTATGGTGTCCCCGTCACTATACTGGGGCATTAGCTCCCACATGGACTGCAGGGTGAGCGCCCCCTCCTGGCCTCACTAACACCTCTTCCAGCAGGAGGTCTCCCATCCAGGTTCTGGCCAAGCTCACACCTGCTTAGTTTCAGTGGGTTGTCAGTTGTAAGTTGCAGGGTGACATGGCTGCTGGCTCCTAGTATCTCAAAACCTAACGAGATATATTTTGTTAAAAAAGCATTGAAAGTATATTTATTCTTCTCCAATAATTCAAGCCTTTTTAAAAGACGTTTAACACTCACAAAGCATCTAAATTCAGTTGCTTTTATTACATATTTATAAATATATATTTGTAATTGTTCTTATACTTATGTAACATAGGCTTAAATGGAACACTAGAGATTCTGTATGTTTGTACAGTATATGTGGATATCAGCCTAAAAAGCAAGCTGTTGATCGTTTTAACTAAATAATAACTGAACTAGTGTGAAATAAAAAGTTGCATTTGTTAGTAAATTTTAATTTTGCTGTATAATAAAAAACAAGTGACTATCTAAATACTCAACCATTAATAAGTTTATCATTTTTTATGTTGCTTTTGATAGGGTCCTGCTGGTCGACCTGGCCTTCCAGGTGCTGATGGATTACCAGGACCCCCAGGGACTGTCCTGATGCTTCCTGTAAGTACACAGATTAAATCAGATTTTGTAGAACCATACTGTATTAGTACATGACTGTACTGTATAAAGAAAGGAAATACTGTAGGACACATATTCATCATTCTCTAGTTAAGAGGCATAATTTTCTTAAGATACAACAAAAATATTTAAAAAAAAGAATTTAAAAATGATGTAACTAAAGCAAATGACAAAGTGATGGTATTCTGTACATAAAACAAATTTTCACATCCTTATATCCCTTTCCAATATAGTAGTGCCATCTACTGGTCCTATTAAATTTTATACTAGTGCTTTCAAGTGTTAAACCACGTATTTGATCAAAAAAGAAAGCCATTTAAAAATATAACAATTTGGAATACATTTATTCCCTACGTGAAGTATTGAGAAAATCAATGTAGGAGGAAAAACTCCCTCATTTTCTTACTATTTAGCAGTAAGTAATCTTCCTTACTGTTGCATGCTGCACAGGCAATAAAGCAAGACAAGGTGCATTGGCTTTAAAGGTCAAAATGTATGTAGAAGTTCACCTTAATTGCAATATTTTAAATACTTAAATCTACGAAGAAGCTAAACCAAAATGATCAGTAGAATTTAAAAAATGTATTCAATGTTTAAATGAGTTAAAAAACAAAACAAAATCCTATATAGAAACTTAAGATTTGCACAGAAACATGAGGTAACCTGACTGATATTTTGGATTAGTGTGCCATTATGAGCTCCTTTCCAGGATCCAGGGCTACAGAGTTGGTGCCAAGTCTTTTGCTAGTGTGCCATATGAGGAAAATATGTAATGAATACCATGCACATCAGTCCACTGTCACATTAATATACGTATTTATTCCTGTGGCAAAACTTCTTATTCATATTTCTTCTTTGTTTTCTGTATTATTTAGCGCTGATTGCCAAAATAAAAAGATTGATAGAGATGCTGCAAGGAAAATCAAATATACAAAGTATTCGAGCTGGGTGCATTTCAATTTACTTGTACTAGCAATTGTAAAATTGGGAATTTTGCTGATGACAAGGAATTTGTTGATGTTAAACTCCTGATCCTTTGTTACCACTCCCAACTATTAAGCTAGTTCGGCTTTTCAGATAGCTGAAAAGTAAACTACTGTCCAGGAAAGGAAAATTATCTTTGGTTCTCAGCTTCTTGTGGGGGTTTATCAATGGAAATAGCTCAGTTTTAAGAGGCACTGCTCTTCCAAAAACATGTACTGTACTACAGTGTGCTCTAAACATGTACATACAATTTTACATTAATATTAATTTCCAGCAGTTACGTAATTTTCTATTGCTAATGTATTTTCATTTTAAAAGGTTTTGTTTTGTGTGTTATTTGGGGGTGACAGGGGTAGATTAGATGCTGGCATACAATCAGAGATTGTGGTGGAAATACAAAACATAGTTGCTGCAGTGATTAGACATTAATTAAATGTATATGGCTTTACTACTCATTTTAATCACTTCAAATTGGTCCTTTCTTCAGGCTTGTTTGCCTGGTCAAATAAAGTATATTTCTGTTATCATAGCAATGTAGAGGAATGCATGAGACCCAAGGCATCAGTTCTTAATCATTAAATTCATTAGAATTATTGAATTGATCCACAAACAGTTCAAACATAGCAATATTCTAAAATGTGAAGAATGTCTGACCCTTTTGAAGTGTGAAATTGTGAAATACACATTCTTTTTAAAGAAAGCCAGACACTTTTTCAAACTTATAAGGGATTCATTATAAGGACAAAATGACAAATAGAAAATATATTTTGCTTTTTAGTACAGTGCACAAAAAATCAATTCAAATGTTCTGTTAGAAACTGCTATTTCCTGGTCTGATCTCACAGAGCATGCTGAAGAAAAAACGCATATCCAAGCTCCAAACAACTCCCAAGCCTGTCTGCGGCAATTACACCCATTCCATATTTTTCCTCAAAGAAGCCAATATTCAAGATATACAGTAGAAGGCCAGAAGTTATTTCAATGCCACTCATTCTTGAAGGATAAATTTCTCCCTCTTGCATCTTTTTTCTATCAAATCAAGGGTAGGTTATAAAAGGTTTCAGTAAAGTGAATTACAATTATGATACATTCTGGAACTACAGCATTTATAGAAACAGTAGAGCCATTCTCAAAGGGGAGGGTGGGGTAGAATTTAGGGTGTACTGTAAAATATATCATATCAAATATGTTTTAAAAGGACATAGTGTTGTATGTGAGATATAATTTAGAAGAATCAGGATTTCCAGAGCAGAAGATTTCATGAGTTTAGGAAATTAAATTTGCAGAATGTTAAAGAATAGAGTTAAGATGGAGTGTGCAATGGTTAGGGTTGAAAGTTGCCAAAGTGTTATTTTGTGTAATTCTATGAAAATACTAATGTTAATTACTTAAAAAAAATACTAAAAGTATTAATATTTAAATTATTTCACAGAATACAAAACAAGTGAAGGATTAAGGAAATCAGTTAAAAAGCATGAATTTAATCCTCATGAAAAATAAATCTAAAATATCCATTGACTGTGCTTAGTACCCAGACCCTGTTTTAAGTCTGCATGGATACAGTATACAGTATGTAACATAAGGTGCAATATTGTTCAGAATTGTTGATCAGGTTCCTCATGTTTTGCTCTGTTTCTAGGGAAACTTAATTTGATTAAATACACATTTAAACCACACAAGGACAAATAATTTATTATTGCGTAGCTTAAATATCTCAATGACGAAAACATGCCATGAAAAACTACTTTCTGACCAAAGTGCAAGTTTTTAATGTTCATGTTCATGTACAGTGCCTTGCAAAAGTATTAAAACACTTTAAAGGTTTTCAAATGTTGCTGGATTACAAATGATAATTGCACATCTTGCCATCAGTACTTTTGCTTGCAAACTCACATACTCAAGCATAATTTTTTTAAAGACTTATTTGTCAGCAGATATCTTAAAGAAAGTCAAAAACATATGTTTGCTTTATATAGGAAAATAATTTATTTGTGCATCATAAACTACAAAATAATGAAAGTGCCATCATTCTGCCTTGTCCTTTCTGCTTGAATCACGGTTGTTGCCGCTGATGTTTTTACAAGTTTGAGAAGTATCTGTTTTTTTCTGTCTCGTTCCCAACTGTTTTATAGTGTGAGCAACTTGAATAATTTGAAGCCAAGAGTGGAGCTACATAAATAGCTAGAAAGCTAGTGAAAGCATTTGGATTATCTTTTATTGTAATGAGCTATGCTTATTTAGACCTACATGTAGGATTCATTGTGGAGTAATCAGTGGCCAGCCTTGTGAGAGGCATTCAAATCTACCCAAACAAGGGAACATGAAATAACAAAAACACCACTACTTGTTTTTTCCTTTGTTGTTTAACAAAAAAGAAACAATTTTACCACCCCCCTGTGTAGAATCAGGATTATGATTATAATATAATAATATAATATGTTATGATTATTAACATAGATCTAACTTCATAATGTTTTCTTATAGCTTCGGCATTATCTGTGATTTGTTTTGGTTGTAACCTCAGTTTGACTATTTTGTAAAGGAACAGACAACACAGGGAACAAACTACATAGAAAAAACAGTAAATGGTCTGCTATTATTTGAAACCTTTCTTATGTTCTGTGTTCCAAAATAAGTGATGCAAATACAAAAGTGAATGTATTTCCAGGAAAAAATAAGATTAGGGAAAATTATTTTCCTGGAATTGAGCTTCATTTGACCCCTGTGTTCTCATTCATAACAAATTACAGTACAATGCCCTGAGTTTAGTATTATACAGTTCTGGCAGCAAATGCAGTCATGGATGATTACCCCATTAGCACCTGACAGATGCATACTGTATGTTAAGTTTAACTAGTTCCATAAATGGTTTGCAAAACCTTATTAAGCTGTGTTTCATTTAATGACTAATGACACAGATAGCATTCCAAAATGGGCAACTTGAAGCATTTGTAAATTTCAAATAGCCTTTGAGACAGGACAACACTTGTCATTGTAAGCTGTAGATTTTGCTTTTCATGAAACTTAAGTTTCTGGTGTTCGGTTTAGAAGTGGTATTTTGTAGTATCTATAAAGTTTAATAAGACTAAAACATTATTAGGCACACAACACCCATATATATCTAAAGGTGTAAATTTATTCATGTTGTTAACACAAAATGCTACCAATACTGTGTTATTGTCATGCTTGAATTGTAACGCTCAGTTTCAGCCATTGGGTGGCAGCACCACTTAATTTTAAAACTACTGTGGACAGCAACTGTTTCTGAGTACAGTATTATCATGTGTCAGAATCAAGCAGGTGTTTAGGATATGACAAATTCAAACATATTTAAAGAAAATGTCAAAGGTAATAGGAAAATACTTTCTTCATTTTATTATTATTTTTATTACTTTTTAATACCCTGCTTTCTACACAAAGCCACATGACTGGCACAAGATAAGAAATCATTGTAAATAAAGAGCCTGAGAACTTTTGAAAAAATATGAATTAGTATTTTTAGTAAAAAGCTTTTATTTAGGACAAAATCAACAAAGATGGCAATTTGACCTTGTTTCTTTAATGGAAAAATATTGTATGCATCCAAGGAGCAAGCAACCTTAAGCAGATGATTCTTTTATCTTACAAAGTTTAATCATATTTAGAGAAACAATCCTGTTGTTTTTATACGTAATGGATCTGACCTGTAGCTTGGTTATAATGAGGTATAGCTTTTAAAGTACCTAGAGTTTTTTTTTCAGCACCGCAATGTGCTTCTTGTTTTACAGAATACACATTTTTCTAAATGTTTATCTAAGGTGCAGTGAAAATCTAAGGACAGCTGAACAAATAGCTCAGTTGATTTTAAAATGCAAATTGTTCTCATTATTTCTTCTGTTGCCTGTTAGTAGTGGCGGGTAAATTGCGTATACATAATACATAATCTGAGAGCTCGTAGAGTTTTGGAAACTCATGATTAAGGCAAGAAACCCCCTGGGGGTTTAAATAAAATGCCTGAGACCACTCTTGACCCAGTTGCCTGATTTTTCATCAACTATTGTTGTCTGTCTGTAAAATGCATGTGAATGACTATTCTGTTGATGTTTTCCTTAAGTTTCGGTTCAGCGCAGGTGGAGACGCTGGGCAGAAAGGCCCTGTTGTGTCTGCACAGGAAGCCCAGATGCAAGCTATAATGCAGCAGGCAAGAGTAAGTGTGCAGATGCTTTTCTACAGAAAACTTACACATTTTCAAACTGATGACACAATATACAGTAAAGGAACATACATACGTGTCCTCCTGCTTGCTTTTAGTCACAGTCACAGAATACCACTGTATATTATTAAGTTTATAAATAAAGTTTCCAACACCTCATAAAAATAAACATATATAATTTAAATCTTTAAATTAATGATGTACTGTTACCCTGCGATGTTTTAAGTAGAATTAGCATTGCAGTCTGTTTTCGTTTATTTTTTCTTTTGTTTTGTTGAGATTCAGTATGGCATATATTTATTAATCACAGGCTTGCTTAAATATCCTTTTTTTTGCATATTAATGGAATTTTTGATTCTCTACAGCTCGCAATGAGGGGTCCAACTGGTCCCATGGGCCTAACAGGAAGGCCTGGTCCTCTGGTAAGTAAGGGAAAATGTATTCATTATTACTCTGATTGTCACATAGTACAACAGATGTCAACATGGTGGAACGGTGGCTCTGTGGCTAAGGATCCTGAGGCTGGAAGGTTGCCGGTTCAAATCCCACAGCCAGCAGAGGAATCCTTCTCTGTTGGGCCCCTGAGCAAGGCCCTTAACCCCAGCTGCTCTAGGGGCGCCGTATAAGTGGCTGACCCCGTGCTCTGACCTCAAGCTTTTCTCTCCCCATCTGTGTGCCTGTATCGTATGTCTCATAGAGAGCAAGCTGGCGAAAGCAAGTATGCGAAAATACAAATTCCTAATGTAAGAAATTGTATATGGCTAACAGAGTGATCTTATCTTAACATTGGAGCGGGTTAGGTGTTTAAAACCCTTGCAAAAGTTTAAATTCAGTAATAACTCTGGAACTTGTAATAACTTGTACAAGATAGCTCGTAATAATTGTTTTCCCATAAAGTATTGAGTAAATAAGAGGGCAAAAGCTTCCAAATAAATGTCATTTCACTTTTAGCATAAATAAAAAATAAAAATAAATAATTAATGTAATTTCAAGAAGTGCACTTTTTTCCATAACATCAAGTTGACAGGAAAGGAGACATTGCCTAATCATAGGGCCAAGTCTAGATGAAATTACCTTGTTCTGAAAGAAAATATATCTTTCAGGAATGAATTTCAAAGTTAGAGAAGCAGGCATAAGGATTTAAGGTGGACCGTGTGATGGTCACATGATAAGGCCAGGCTTGCTGTAAAACAGAACCTCTGTCTATTGGCTTAGGAAGCTACCGAAATCTTTCTGGACTTGTTTCATAAGTGCTTTGTACTTTGGGGCAGAAGGGTAAGATGAGGTTTACTCACTAGCGCAAATATGGTATTTCACCTGGCTCATGAGATTTGAAATTCACCTTACAGCCTCACAGCTCTGTCCCACACAATTTAATTTTTACATCGCATCACAAACTCTATCCTGGTGACCTTTGATCATGAATAATCTAATCAGCTAATGTTAAATCCATGAATGTTGAAACCTTACTGTATTCCAAACCATCATGCAAAACAGCAAGTTATGATAGTCTCATATATTTTTTAAACATAGCTTTTTTAAGTAATATTTGTTTAAAAATTGACATTTTTTGCAAACCTAATTGACTCTGTCAGAAGTGAGACTTGATTGAGGCCTTCAAAATATTAAAACTGGATCAATGCGATTGACTTGTTTGGCAGTTTCAAATGTTAAAATTAACCAGTGCTCCAACACCATGCTGCAATAATGTTTTACTGTCTTTCTAGGGTCCACCAGGTGTATCTGGATTGAAGGGTGAATCTGGAGAGAGTGGTCCGCAGGTATGGCTATATACAGTAGCTTATTCCTGCTGTCTATTGCTAAAGATACAACCAAATGTGTGACCAATTGTTTGTTTGCTTTGCATGTCCGATTTACAACTACAGGTATGTGTGTATGCTGTGTCTTTCAGCTGTTTCTGAATCATATTATCTGTAATTTTTATAGTTTGGCGGCATTTATTCCAAGCAGCAGTGTATCTGAGATCAAAAATTATTTTTGAAAAAATATCAAGATAGGTTTGTATGTTTCACAATGAAGATACGGTACATTACTAGCCTCAGAGTTCTTAAGTACATTCACTCTATAGAGTTTAATTCCCCTTTTGTTATGTATAAATATACATTATGCAAATTTCTTTCTTAAGTCTTTGAATTTAGTGCATTTAGATACAGCATGTAGCAGGTCAATGCCTATTCCTTCCTCCTGACACACCCAGTGTTATTTCTGTTGTAGGGACCACGTGGTCCTGTGGGGCCTCCTGGGCCATCTGGAAAACCTGGAAGAAGGGTGAGTTATTTTTGTTTTTCCTTTTCATCCTAAGGCCGCTGCCCATATCTTATATCTTAATGTGGATGACCGCAGATATCCGCTTTATATTTTCTCTAGGCTTTACCTAATTGGTGATTATATAACAAATACTGTTGCCTTCCAGCCTATGCCATTCTGAGCTGGGCTTGCTCTTCCAGTACAAGTTATTACTAGACTTTGATTCTTCTAATTACATTCTTAATTGACCCTTGAGTGCATAATGGACATAGGTGCGGAAGATCTCTTTGGGTAATTAAGGATTCACTTCAAACAAATAAAATTCAATAGCTAAGGTTTCTTACCCTGGACTACAGTATCTATAGTTATATATATGTAGTTATAGATACGAGCTGTGTTAGTGTTTGAATTATAAAGGAACAGGTGGAAGCTACAGGCATGCTAAAGAATATATAGAAAAAGCCCAATGTTCTGATCATGGAGCGTTCTTTAGTTTTGTGGGACAATAAAGAGGAGCAATGTGAGGCAAAAGGGTAGTGCAGGGAAGACAAATTAAAGTGAATATGAAAATGGGCAGAGGGATGCAAATGTGGGATATAAATATTTAAATCCCTTTGAAAAGATGCAGATAGAAAGGTCAGTGTAGTCATGATGTGAAAAGATAAAATGGGAATTCAACTTGGCTAGAAAATATCTTTAACAATTTTTTGTAACACCCACAAATTACTTTTTGTAGAGGTGGTAGTGGTTAATAATGTTTTAGTTACAAATATGGTAATGACATTCATAAAGTGTATATATATGAAATGAGCTAGGTGGAACTTAACAGTGTTTCTATGGGGTGTGGGGATGATGATGATAACAATTTTCTAAATGACTGGGTTTTATTCCTGAAGAGTTAGATATAGATGTCTTCAAGATAATCAAACATCTATTTCTTGATTCCTGTTTACAATGTTGAAGGATAAAAGTCTATCTTGTTCGACAGTTCTTTGTTATTTCTTTTGTTATTACAAAGTAGCTTGTTCATGTTGCTGCAGTTTACTGGTTTTGAGAATACATTAGCCAAACAAGCAAGGAACAGAAGTCATGAAATATGGTACATCTAAGATCGTGTATGGAGTAAATCCAGCCAAGAGCTACATTATCTAAATAATAGGGCAAAATCTTATAGCTTCAAATTTATTGCTTATAACTAAATTTTACAAAGCTATTTGAAAATTGAGGATTCTTTTTGGCATAAACTTGTTTCATGTTATACAGTAGTATAATAAAAGCATTTCTTTGTGGAATGCCAGAGACAGTGCTGAGAAGAAATGAGTTTGCCGGATCCACACTAGGAAAATAAAAAATAAAATATGGTAAACACGAACTACAAATAGAAAATAACCCCTTTGGAACAAAGAAATAAGGACTGAAAATTTCGAAGTATAATATTTAACATTCATGAACAGGTATGGCTTGATGCCATATCATATTAAATTAATTTTATAACATGGCTCCAGTCGTTTGAATCTACACATTTTTGTGCTAGTAATTCAATAACAATTAGCGCTCATGTAAAGCAAGATTGACAGTAAGGAATTTAGTTCCCAGGTGATCAATTTGGAAGGGGGCCCAAACCTCTATGACTGAGAAACTATAGTATATAAGCAAATCAAACTTGTTTTAAAAATAATGTATTAAAATAAAAGTAATTACAATATTATCTTAATAGTTGCTTGCTGAATTAATTGAAATATTGTCTAAAGGGCCGTGCTGGTGCTGACGGAGCTAGAGGAATGCCTGGACAAACTGGCGCAAAGGTATGAATTAGAAATTATTTTCTTTGAAAATTAAACCATAGTGATTTCCCTCATCCAAAAGAATATCATTTGCACACCTTTTTGATTTCTGTATATGATGCTGTCTTCTAAAAATCGCTGACTCTCATTATTTCATTTTCATTTAAAAATATTTCTGTCATTTTTATTATTTTAAAAGTCATTTAGAAAGCCGACAAACATGACAATAACATGTTTTAACACAAGGTTTCTTTAATAGGTTTCTTAACAATCATGCAGACTATTACTTTTATTGTTAAGCTGAAAAATTACAATAATCTTTTAATCAATTAAGAACCTTACCAAAGGTGAATACTACTGTATCTCTATCCTTTATTAGGCTTTTGTCCTAGAGGAAGCATCCTTTCAGTGCTTTTGTCTTTTTTGTATGGCTTAATAAAAGGTCATTTATATTTATATTTAGACTATTGTGTCTTTCAATGTTCAGGACATTTTTCCTTTCTTGGTTTCGCCTCAACCCCAGAACTCTAGGACATTCAAGATTCTAAGTCAAAGTACTGTCTAGACGTACTTTATCCTCAGCTGCTAGCATGTAATTGCAAAAGTAATTGGGGTAAAAAACATCACTTTGACTGGAAAACCAACTGCAGGGGAAAAAATGTGAACTACACATGTGATAGTTGACTGCCTTATTTCAGTGTTATTGGAAATACATTACCATCTCATTTTAAATCTGTGAGCTATTAAAACAGTAACTGACCACACAAATCCAAATATCATGGGTGTGGCATATGTGTTAAATTTGCATTTATTTTCCTCTTTTTTCTTATTTAATTTATCAACATCAAAGTTCATTTGGGCTATGATTAAAATTACCTCAGCATTGTAATGGTTATGTACAGGTGTGAACCTGTTACAATTAGTGTGCCTGTATCAATTCCCTTGTGGCATTTCAATACGAAATAAAAGTGAACTGATGTTTCTCTTTAAAAAGGGTGACCGAGGCTTTGATGGACTGGCAGGATTACCTGGTGAAAAGGGGCACAGAGTAAGCCATTCTTTCCTAATTTTTTCATGAATGATCCATAAAATATCCACAACTTAGTTTCTTGTGTTTCAGATATTTCTCACTATGAAGTAATACCTTGTACTGTATGTGGATAAAGAAGCACTTGAATGAAGCCCAGAGCAATTTACTATATTAGTGGTTGGGTAAAGTTCTGTGCTTTATAACCATGTGCTAATGTTTAGAAAATGAATGTTTTTAAATTAACAAATGATAAACAAGCTACATAAATCGAGTCCATTCCAACTATTAGATTTTTGGGATGCTGATTCTAGGAAGGAAGGAAATACTTCATTTTTGTCTTGTGGATGATTAATAACTCTTCGGAAGAGACAGTGAGGCCCTGACCTATCCAAGTATATGAAATAAGCATTCCATTGCACTTGTGCATATGACAAATAAACTGAAGTATTTTATGCCTGATGCTTCAGGTGTGAGGGACTTGCATTATGCTACAGTATACCAAGTGTGAGTTCCAGATATATTTATACAAATGATAATTCGGTACAGAATAATAACTTTTGAAATAAACATTCTTTCTGCTTTTCTGCTAAACACCAAGGTTATTTTTTTCAAATATTCAACTAAATATACAAGTAGCATAATGTTTGCTGTGAACTTTTTATGCTGTTGACACTGTTGTTGACTGAAAATATAGAGTAGAGATAACAAAATTTTCTTATTGGTATACCTTGAAAGTGCAGTTTTAGAAACCTTTTCTCAGGCAGTTTGAATGAGATAACTTTAAGCTTTCTCATGGTATGTGAAAGCACAAGTGTAAGCAGAAAGACTGGACAAATTTTAGGAGTGGGAAATTTCACAAGGTGTTGTTTGTGAACGTTCATCAGCATCAGCATTTTGGTACTAATTTAATTAACATTCCACAAATGCAGAACGAATAATGTTTAATAAAAAAAGGTGTTTATTAATGACAATTGTAGGCCATTGTCAAATGGCATGTCAGTGTGAGTGTTGTTCTTGCCATGAGACTTAATGAACATTAAGAGTGTAGGGTTGTATTCACTGTTTTATGTGAAGCAACAAAGAACAATACATTGGCTGTGTTAAGTGTTCACTTGGAATAAAGTTTCCTGTTTTGTATCTTTTTATCGTGCTGCTTATCATGATACAGTATGTGTGTTCAGAATGGTTCCCTCTTGTTCGATCTGTATGATGTTTTTGCCTTGGTCATTAACCTATCATACATCTGTTGTAAAAAAAAAAGCTGATTGCTAGAAAATATACTTTACAGATCTAGCAATTTAGCTTTGAGCTGTGCCAAAACACTGCTTAGTGAGGCATTATGCCTTTGGTCATGTGCCACATGGATAGAAATCCTCATGTAAAAAAAACTTTCCAGAAGCAATGTTCTGCTTTGAGACTTGCTAATCTACATGACAAATAACAAGCTGGAAAATAAAGGATCACCCAGAACACATCTTACAGTAACAATATAAGAAGTTTAATTTTTTTCACTGCATACAGTATTATCAGTTATTCCCTTATATATTTATATTATAGTCCTTCATACAGTATATGTTATCAGTCGTGGTAAAAAAAGTTAATAACACCTAAGATATAAGACTTTCTAAAACTTACCAGACTATCTTATTTCTCCTAAATAAGTCTTGCATACCTTCTATTTGGGTTTTTCCTAGATGATAAATATACAGTATTGTGCACTTGGTGTTATTGTCACTTTATATTAGAATTCTTGAGGTTTCCTGGTCTGCCAGTAAAAAACATGGTGTGCTAAAACTTAAGTGAAAACATGCTGGGACCTTGATTTAATTTATTGATTTTCCTAATTTTTGAATTATGTAAAATTCATATTATCTTAGGAAATTGTAAATATATTTACAAGGCATTCCAGAGTCATCTCAGTTAAAATGTATTTATGTTTTCACAAATTTCCCTCAAGCCAGTACTTAATTTACATACATTTCATTTTTATTGCTGTCTAAATTATAAAAAAATGCTGTTATCTGAGGGGACAGTTCAAACGCAACAGACATAAATGTTGGTTAAGCATTCAATGAATGAAAGAAACCTTTTGTACACTGATAACATAAAACATATATTTTTTTAATTTACAAAGGAAATTCATATGCAGCTGCGGGCACAGGTCTGATAGTTTAATTGTCCTCATCTTAGATGTCAGTAAACATTAAGCCCATATTCTGGTGCAGTTTGCATATTTTGGTAGTCTTTTAAAATTTGCACACAAGTACAGTAGTTGGAAGAGGTAACAGAACTGTAATTCATTTGATGATAGTGGTCTGCATTAGTTAAGGTAGTTCATGCATGCTTTTGTTATACTAGACTGTATTTATGGTTTTAAAGGTTAAATTCCACATCTGTCATCATTATACCACTAAAATTAATTCTATTCTGTGATCCTAATGCAGCTAGCCAGCCAAATGAAGCCTAGTGAGGCTCCTTGTCTGGCATGTGAAAATGAGATGTTACCTCCTGCTGAGAATTTTTTAGTGCTGATTGGTAGACACTTTACATTCGATTTAGTGTCAAGCTACTACAATATCACATCCAATATGTAACATATGGCAACTATTATGCTACCATATAGAATCACTTAAAAAAATTAAGGATCATGGACATTAATATGTGGGTGTTGTTGGTGTATAACTATATTAGGAACATGGGCTTTTGTTTTTAGTACAGTGGGACTGAGGTTTTTCCAAAACCATATGTTGCTGATTTTGTGGTGACGGATTATGAAAGAAAAATGGGACCCAGACTTTTTTTTCTCCGGATTCTCACAGTTTTTATTACCAGGCCTTTGTTTTGGTTTATGATCAGGGTGTGCTTGTGTCTGACACTGAATGCTGCATTCTTGTTACAGGGGGATCCCGGTCCTCTGGGTCCGCCTGGCCCTCCAGGAGATGATGGTGAAAGGGTAAGTGTGTAACACCTTGTCCTCCTATAAACCAAGAGACACCCTGCCCCATGTTACATACAAATAATTGTCCCCCAGGCTGTTTCAAAACAAGGTGCTGCTTGCATCCTGTGATTCATTTAGTTGTAATCGGATGACCAAGAAATATTGCCACTGTAAATTGGTACGTATACTTTAAAATTGATCCCAGTCCAATTTGTATTGGTTTGCCCCTCTGTGGTGCTCTGTTCCTCTCTCCCTTTCCATACAGTGATTTCCCTAAAGTCTTCATAGATCTCAAACACTTTTTGTTTTTTTTTGCTACTCTTGATGATGTAATGTGGTCAGCTGACAACACAGTAGATTCAGTACTTGGTAAATATACAGCTTTGACAAGACAACAAGAAAAACAACGCTGTTTTTCTAAACTAATGTGTACCACATTTTTCAAAAAAGCAAAGGTGGAAAAACCATTAGAGATAGGAGCTTAGAAAAAAAAAAACAAGTAAAAGGAGGCTAATAAATTTCTGGAATTGGGAGACAGTGGCTGACCACATTGACAGAAGTGGTGCAATAGTGAATTGGATTAATTGAAACAGTGCCTTACAGCATATAAGGATATCCCAGTGTCCACCCAGCCTTGTAGAAGGCTGAACTTAGACCTACAGTACACATGGAAAGACTGCACAGATTTTAATTATTCTAATATAAAGATATAATGTGTCAAAATGAAACTTACCTGTGTCTTTGAAAGATCAGCATATGTTTACCATATCAAAGGGAAGTGCTGTTTCACATTTTGTTTCTGTCCTAATGTATGTTACACTGACAGAGGAAATGCCTTGTGCCTACCGTGTAAAAATATTATTCATATTCTTAGGGAGATGATGGTGAGGTTGGACCAAGAGGGCTGCCCGGTGAACCTGTGAGTCTTTTATGTTCCTCTTTGACCACCTTATTGTGATATGGGTAGCTCTGCATACAGTAGGTCTTTTCTGAAATGAAACTCTTTCTCAAATGTGTGTTTGTAACTGGCACACTCCTCTTTTCAATAGTAGGTCACATTTACATATTTGTCAAAGTAATGCTATAAATCTCAGGTGCAATTCTGAATAAAACATGTTGGAGAGACATTTCTGTGATTCATTTTAATACATATTTTTAGTCTTTACTGCATTTCTTCATATAAAAAATCTTCATTAAGTTACAACTTCAAATTTTCACATTTATATCCTTTTCTTTTACAGATGTCTCTAAGATCCCATTATATATTTTATGCAGTACCCATAATTATTTATTTGTATAGTAAGAAAAAACAGTAGGAGGTCCTTTCATTTTAATACAGACTTAGTATGATCTTAACATTAAAGTTAAAATGTACAATAAATAAAGCACACTATCTGTGCCCTAGTACTGTAGCTGTGTCACAATCATACCTGACTATCTACAGATCTCTTATACTGTACATATACTAACAAAAAAGTACAAGAGGGAGTGCTTATAGGATCAAAGCATGGTGATAACTGGCCTTCCTGCACATATCAGGCTGAGACTAAATTGCCTACAATTACAGCATTAAATTCTGGGGGTTTGTATCTAAGTCAGAAATTATTATTGTTTTGTGTTTCCTTTTAATGAACTACTAGTTCTCACTTTCATTTAAGCATTCACTCTAATATTTAACACTGAGAGTGTGTATAATTTTAATTTTGGTGAAATGTGCATTATAAGTTTTGTTCTATAATATAAATGTGTAATTATTACATTAAACATTTGTGTGTTTTTTATAATACTCATTTTCATTTCAGTGTTCTGGACATTTTGAAGCACTGTTCTGATAATAGGAATGTGGGATAGTGTTTGAGACTGTGCATGAGAAGCTTTCCCGACACTGTCTGCAGCCTCTTCAGTCTCTGTTGTGCTCGGCTTCCTTCTTTCATTGTGTTACACAATCCTTGACTTAGCATCATGTTTTTGAAATGGCCATAATGGAGAAATCTGCCAGACGTATTTGTAACAGGGTCTTCAGGGAGTCCAGCTGCTCAGTACAACATGACAGCTGCAGAGCACACGAATATCCAGTAGATGTCAGGGTGTTCTGAATATTGTGTGCAGAAGGGAAAGTGCCAGGCTAGGTGCCAAACCCAGATAGGCTGCAGTCTAATGGCCAGACCTACAGAGCAATTTAGCAATTCCCTTCAACAAGACATTATACAGGCATTGCATCATGGTATAATGGAAATACCAAACAAAAGACCACGGCCCTGGTTTATTTTTTAATTTGCCTTTTCCACATGCTGTTGTGTTTTAAACAATCTCCTTTCTCATCGCACGAGTGACCCTCTGAATAGCTGGTAAAGACTTTAAAAAACAGCTTTTGTTTTACCATGAGGTATCTAAGGATGGGCATGTTTGTGTTTTATTTCCTATAGGGACCTCGTGGTTTGCTGGGACCAAAGGGACCACCGGGGCCTCCTGGCTCTCCAGTAAGTTCTGAATTCTATACAAACCTCAGACACCCAAAGGGTATATTGTATACTGGTACAATTGCTGGAGACTGCCTCTCTTTGTCCCTTCTACAAATTTGTTGTTAAAATTTTGTTAATATTTTGTTAAATATTGAGAAGTCATTAAATTTTTATTTTCTTGTTCATATGCCTTATAAAGGTGGTAGAGATGGAGATCTACAGTATGTGGCACTCTTTGATGGTTTTGCTATCGTTAGTTTGTTTTAATTGCATTTATTTTTATTTATTTTTAGGGTGTTACAGGAATGGATGGTCAGCCTGGTCCAAAAGGAAATATTGTAAGTGTATTAAAAATTTCTTCAGTAAAGTTTATTTTTCAGTTTTTAAACATACTGTACAACACCTGGGAAGTATAAAACACAAAAAATGTCTGTAAATATCTTCCCGCTAAATCCATAGAACTTTGTTCATTCAGGTTTCCAAGAAAAAGTCCAAATAATGAAATCATATGCTGCAGTCCTAAATCAGTTGTTTTTTCCTCTCTACAGCACATTCAATTAAAATTGAGTTACTGCAAATATGTTGCAGTAATTAAAATCCCCTTGCAACTTCAACATAGCATTACACGCTAAATAGAAAGTTTTAGCCATTATATATGTTACAACATTGATAATAACATATAAAGTACTGAATGATTATTTACATGTATATTGATATCAAGTGCCCCTTATTTAGCTGGGCATCAGTGAAGAATGTTCATCATTATTCAGATGCTGCATTTCAAATGAAAAGTGGATTTCATGAGATCTGCTCTGATGCATTGAACAGGGGGGTTAACTTGCCTCAACAATCAGCAGATTTCAAGGTCCAGTTTTTCATTGATTGTCAATTAGCCTAAGGTACACATCTGAGGTGCAACAGTTATGGCAGATGCACAATACATGAAAGGTCCACAAAAGCAGAATAATTTCTGAACAGAATAACGGCATTCAAAAGCTAAGCAGTAATCAAATGTAATTCCAGCTAGGTATCTTGGTATCAAGGTGTTCATTATAATAGGATAATTATAATTGTTATCAGTTTAGGTTTTTTCATTTGTGCCTAATCTTAATATAATACAGTAGGTATAGCACAAATTGTAAATGTGCTCTAGTAAGCTGTATGATGTAAGAAAAGAGTTTTCATCCTGTGTCCTCCATGTGCATTTGTTTTTCCTGTTCCACTCAAGCACTAGGGAAGCAATTACATAAAAACAGTTGAAATAAAACAATCAAGCAAATAGTGTATATGGTACCAATACCATTTGAATTAAATCTGTTATCTATAGTTTAACCTAGAGGTAAACAGCCTCCAATAGACATGCCTGAGCATTGTCCTTTTTTCAAACAGAAACAGGCTTTAAGAAAAGGTCGTATCAGACTTCTGTAAAGAAAATCCAAGGCCTATAATGGATTGCAAATTAAAATATCCAGCTGCAAAGGGATGTAATCTCTAATTGGGACTTCATGTAATTGAGATACATTTGTAGCATCCAGTGCATTTTCACTTGCTAAAAAGACACTTTCCTTATTATTTTAGATGGTCTTTTACCTGCTAATGAACCAGACACAATGCTTTCTGTGTCCAAATTTACTCTGATCATACCAGTTTGGTACACAATGTAATGAGAGATACCAGTTTGAGGATTTGACTTAATCATATTCATGTTTTCTCTAGGGTCCCCAAGGCGAACCTGGTCCTCCAGGACAGCAAGGGAATCCTGGAGCACAGGTAAGGTGTCTGTAATCATCAAAAGGACTTTAGTACTATTTGTCTTCTATTTTTGCACATATTTTGAGCATTTACATCTTTAAACATCAACTTGAACCTGCACATAAATACTGACAGTGGTTGGGCTAAGGGAAATTTATTGTTCATCATTTTTGTTCTGAAATCTCTTCACCCATTGAGAAATTCAGGTTTTGATGTATTTAATGGAAAATGCAGTTGCAAGAGAAATCCATATGTTATAAAATAACTTTGTACATTGAATTCTCATTCAGAATTATAGAGTAAGAGAACTTTCTCAGATTTACTTATATCCAATACTTATTTTGGCATTTAATTCAGATAATAAATTAAAATGCATTCCCTTGTACACATTTCTTATGCAATGTCCAAATCTGCCAACTTTATGCCCAAAAGAGATTTGACATATTGTAATTAGCCCAACTACTGGCAGTATTTATGTGATTAGATGTTTAAATTGCAGTGTCATAAACTTTGTTAGCTATATTCAGACACAAAGAGATTCAAATAAAAAAAGGTTTAATTTTGCTTGTTTGTTTGATCCTCATGCTTTAGTTCTGTTCACTAAAAAGGTTATTCATAAGATAGTTGCCTGTCTTAACACACCTTATCTTCCTGCTCAGCATATTGAACTGATTAAAATATAGGAATTTATAGTGTATTTTACCAAAACGTTAATTTGGAATAGAACAGGTAATGCCACTCTGTTTGGTATCAGTCTGGTTGGTATCAGTCAGTTGGTAGCTGGTTGGTTGGTGGAGCGGTAGAACTGTGGTTAAGGATCTGCACCTGTGGCTGGAAGGTTGCCGATTCAAATCCCACAGCCAGCAGAGAAATCCTACTCTGTTGGGCCTCTGAGCAAGGCCCTTAACCCCATCTCTTCCAGGTGTGCTTTACATTGGCTGACCCTGTGCTCCGACTCCAAAATTCTCTCCTAGTCTGTGTCTCATGGATAGCAAGCTGGAGTATGTGAAAAGATGAGTTCCTAATGCAAGAAATGGTATATAGCTAATAAAGTGATCTTATCTTATCTCAAATGTGCACTGAGATCTATTATCTGGCAGGTTTTCTTTTTTAAGATTTAATTAGATTATTTTTCAGAGTTCTTATTGATGCTCTGTGTGTTGCTTGACAGAACATATCTTGAATATTATTGATTTTGGGTGGCTGTGGAAGCTACCTCTCTCATGTTCTTCATATTGTATGTAGCCTACAGTATATTCAGACTGTTTCTTAAAGCAGCTTACTCATGTAATACATGACTGTTTTCACAGGGTCTTCCTGGTCCCCAGGGACCTATTGGCCCCCCTGGAGAAAAGGTAAGAGCGCAGTTTGGTTAATGAAAAAATGATCCTGCTGGAGCTTACATAGAGAATTGAAAGACATTTTGCCATTCCTTAGTACAAGAAGTACTGTACTTTGTTTTAGCTTTAGAATTATTGGTCCCTAAAAGTCAATACTGAAATGAAATTCAGCTACAACCAAAGCAACTTAACCTTTCTGTGAATATGAACAAATGCAAGCCTTTTTTCCTCTCATATTAAAATATGAGGAAAACACAGATGAAGATTTATAAAATGCTATCATATTTAAAACTTCAGTGTGTGTGGATCCCATACTACAACATTGTTCAGACAAACTCAGATTCAGTTGCAGAAATATGAATTTCTTCAAGAATATTGCCAGCTATTGGTACATCGATACATCAATACATCATCACTTCTATAAATTACTTTGTTCTACGTGTTCTACAATTTTTGTCACTTAATAATTGACTTAGAATATAATATTTATTTTGAAATTTCAATCTTATATTAATGCATTTGCTTAAATTTAAATTAAACCTTATTGCTTGATAGTCATCCAATACAGCAGTACCTAAAAGCATGTGGATGTCATTTTCTTTTCACACATTCAAAACAGCTGGATTTCAGGCATTGTTACTCTGATGTTTGAAAAAGAACTGGCTATGTAACCCACACCCCACAAGCAACCACACCCCACAAGTAGTATAGCTCTGGGGCAGCATCTTTGATATTGATTTCAAAATATCCATACATCCACTGGACAGGCAGCTGGTCTGATGTTTATGAATTTGGCTGAGCAAACTCTATTCAGGGATCTGAATCCAATGTGACTTCATGAATCCATCGTGTTCTGGTTATTGCAAAATCTTGCTCACTTTGCATTCCTCCTTCTGATGACTGTTCCTTGTCTCTTTGCAGGGCCCCGTTGGCAAGCCTGGCCTCCCAGGCATGCCTGGAGCAGATGGTCCCCCAGTAGGTGTTTGAATTTCTCATATGCAAATCGAGAGACTGAGCAGATGCACTTGGTGCACGAAGCAATGAACTTTGCCCCTGAAATTTTCATTTAAATCTGTGACACAGCAATGAGAATGAATCATTTTTTAGGTGATTTCCCACTTGACAAAGTGGCACCAGGAAGTGAAATACTCTGGACAGAGATCCAGAGATCACTGACAAAAATGTTATGAACAGTTCATATGACCAGTATTTGAAAAATACACTTTTCTATGTTTAATTTTCTAGTTTCAGAGATCCTTTTATGTTAATATGTGTAGAGATGTCACCAAGTCTTTTCTTGAGAGAAACTATCCTTTGCCTTATAGCATTGTGCTTTAATTTTTGGACACTGTAAAGATGCATGGTCAAAATTCAAAAGTCAATATGAGAGCTTTAGGGTTTTTTGCAATCAAATGCATCCAGGGGAGCTTATTACTGTTTGAAAATAAATTCATATTCTGTTAAACCCCTCATTGATTTACCTTCTACATTCTCTGTACAGATTTCACCACATACCACTGGAATCTTGTGCAACACAAAAGAGATGGGTGGTAGTTCTCCAATCTCTGTGTGCTCAGATTCACTTTACAGACATTCAGGGATGACATTGGACAACACAGAACTGTTGACCCTGGGAGGACCTAAAGTACCTATGTCCTTCTAGTCCTTAGTTCTTTGAGTCCTTTGCTAAAGTTTTGAAGCATAGTACACATTCAACACTATGCAAAAGTAAATAATTTTACACATAATTTTTACAAATAATTTTGAATAATTATTTGTAATCTCTTTATTAAAAATATATTAATTGTGCTACCAACACTATTTTTTCAGTGTTTTACATTCCTGGGAGAAAGGTAAATCCTCTAACCAAGACTTGCAGTATAGACACATTGTGTTGTCCCTTACTGTATCACCTCTCATTCCTGGGGCAAAAGCAATACTACATTGAAATAACATGAAATTTGATTTTTTTAGGGTCACCCTGGCAAAGAAGGACCTTCTGGTGAAAAAGGGCATGTGGTGGGTTTTCTCTTTAATTATCATTCTTTTGCCCTCACAGTATTCATTGGTGAAAAAAAAAAAACATTTAACCATTTCACCTATCTAACATTCAGGGTAATATACAACAGAATATATAAACATGTAAAACATTTCCATTTTCTTGACAGAGTACCGTGCTTTGTTCTGTACACAGTAGGATGGTTTGATGCTGCATGTGTATTGTATTTCATATTATATTAAGAATTAAACATGGAATAATCTGAGATTTTGAAGTGTACTTTGCTCATATGCACATGCAATTAAAATAAGTATTTTTGTATTCAAAAAAGGTAAGACTTGTTATCAATGATACTGTGTCATTGAAACAATGCATATATCTGTGTTAATAGGGGCCGTCTGGTCCACAAGGCCCAATTGGGTATCCAGGACCTAGAGGGGTCAAGGTAAGACACACTTCAAAATGAGCGCATTCTTGTTACTTCATTCCTACATCAGAGTTCTTGCCTTGGGATTTTGGGAAACAATGTTTCATGAAGTGTCAGTTCCATCACTTACCAGTAGACAGATTGTAGCTGTCAGTTTCTTTCAAGTGCCATATGCTGTCTTATTCCAGGGGGCTACTTGCTTTTCCAGTTGTGTTTAGCTGCCTTGAATATTCATGTATGGATCAGCTAGTATACGGGAGGTGGACTAAAAACATGGACCATAAGACACTGTTTTTCTGAACTGGTTGCAGACTTTTTTGAAGTCAACTTTTCCTCTTCAAAAGCTTGAGCTCTAGTTCTGTTGTAATTACCACTTTAGAATGTGTGGGTTGTAAAGACTACAAGTGATACTGCTGATACATATTTGTACATTTTCAGTAGAGGTCAGCTTAATTTAAATATGCCTCAGGCTTAACATTTAGTATCTGTGAAGTGTGTTCTTCCTCAAATCAAACTGTCACAAAAGAAGTTACATAGAATATCTCAATTTGCAGTTGATGTTAAGGTCCTCTTCCTTACATGTACAGCAAATCTTTCTTGAATGGTCTAGCTCTAGGCTATATTATGGACTTAACTGCACTGTATCTTAAGGAGTGCTTAGAGTCTGCACAGTGTCTTAAGGACTTTTTGACTGCACATATTTTTAATTCTCGCCTAAACACATGTTTTTATAATTATGGTGGATAATCCTTGAGTTTTTTGGTTTTATTTGGTTAATGCAATATTTGATTTTTGTGTGTCTGATACTGTATGCACAGTAAGAATGTATCTAGGTGCTTTCAGTTTCTTAACAGCACTTTTAATAAAATATATTTATATTATTCTCTTTATTAGGCAAGCATTTTTCTGACATTGATACATTTCTGACATTGAGAAGGACAATGGATGATGCAAGTTATTGCCAAATAACAAATAGGATTGTATTAGAAGCTTTGCTCCTGGTCTTCAACCTCCTTGAATATACTGTATACTTTTTTCAATCACATTCTGTAATGTTTAACTAGGGTGGATGGTATCCCAGTGTGGTACCACAAGATGGCATGTGTGTCATTCTTTTTGAAACCCCACTGCTCAACACATACAACTTCTAAGAAAGCACCATATTTGAAAATATTAATAGTATTAAGTATAGTATGATCATTGTGAAATTCCTATTTTGTTCATCTCAATTGTGTATGACAATTTTTAGATTCATGCCAATAACAAAGTACTGTAAACTTGCATCATCCAGGTGGTGCTGCACATTGGTGGTGGTGGAGGGAAGTCCCCATTACTTGAATGAACTGTCTGGAAATTATTATTATTAAAAATATTATTGTATAAAAGTATTATTTTAAAGATTTTTGTCCTTTTTTTCTAAGGGTGCTGATGGAGTCCGTGGTTTAAAAGGCAACAAAGGTGAAAAGGTAAGATGCTCATTTACAAAACCATAGGAGCACATTACATGTTTTTCTATTATATCTTGATAGTTTTCTTAGTTTTTGCTTTTGTTGTTTTTTATTATGGGCACAGAGATTTTTCAGAAAAAAACATCCAATATTTAATTTTATTTAAAATGTTCATTATATATTTTACATATATAATGTATTTTTGGTAACTACTTTTAAATCCTGAAAGAAAGAAAAAAACAGTGTTACTGGCAACTGCAGCTAGGGTTTCCGTAGTAACAAGCTGTGATGGGCTTTATTAATCTCTAAAATCTAAACCGTGTAGAGATTAATTAGCCTTTCCTATTTGTGTGATGCATTAAATCAGTGGTTCTCAAACTGTGGTACGCGTACCGGCAGTGGTATGTGGAGTGCCGCCAAGTGGTACGCCAAATGACCCTGGAACTGTGTCGTGTGCACAGAAAAATCGGGACGGGTTTTCATATTTTGTACTTTAATACGTGTCGAATACGCGGCCTACATACTACGATACAGTGCGTGCTAATACTTCAGTGGGCACAAGAGATACTCTGTAATTCTATACCACTCTATAGGGAATGTGTGCTACGGATGCAAGTGACCAATTGTATTTAAAAAAAGCTACTGTATCTCCAGCAAATAGGGAGAAAGGAGAATGTGCGTGATTTTGGAACTATGCCAACGTTCTAAACCCAGGAATGCATAGAAATACGTGCTACGAACACAGGTAATCTTGTGAGCACACGAAAGCATGATATCAGAAAAATATTTAAGAACTGTTCTAATTTGAGAAAAATACACAGAGCGTATTTGTGTTTCTCTGTGTTTCGCTCCCATGTGCATGAAATAACTTTAAATAAATACTGAAATAAAAACGGAAACACGGAAAATGCAAGCTTGCTTATTGCTAAAGCAGGTAAGCTACACTATTTTTGAAGAACCTTATTTACCGTTGGCAAAAGAGCTGACACGTATTATGTTAGAGAAAAAGCTGCTAAACAGCTCGACCTGCTGCCCTCCTCCCACTGAAAGACACAGTCATTCATAGAATTATTGAAATTAAGGATTATATCAAAAGTACACTGATAGAGCACGTTAAGATGAGCAGATGTTTTTCACTGCAATTAGATGAGTCTGTAGTCGATTTGGCCAATTTGCTCGTTTACGTTAGATACGAGTTTGAGGGCATGTCCAATGAAGACTTTCTGTTCTGTAAACCGCTACCAACAGGAACTACAGGAGAGCACATATTTCAGCTTCTGAATGAATTTATCGAAGAGAATGTCCTCGACTGGATAAAATGCGTCTGAGTTTGTACAGACGGTGCTAGAGCAATGACAAGCCGACATAACGGTGTAGTTGCACGAATTAGAGAGGTTGCTCCAGAAATTAATGTACGCATTACAACATCCACCGCGAGACCTTTGCCGTCAAGAAAATGCCTGACGATTTAATATCTGTTAGACTCTGTTGTGAATTGTATCAAGGCTCGAAAAATTAATTCACATCTGCTTTGCTCAACTAAACAGGCTCACCTCTCTCACTGAAATGGTGCTTTATTAGTTGTTGTTAATGTTTATTTTTCTGTAAAACACTTTGAGAAGCCACCTTTAAAGGTGCTATATCAAATAAAGTGTATTATTATAATATTTATTATATGTATGTGTGAGTGTGTGTGCACGCGCGCTCATGTTGGTCATTGAGAATTTCTGGGGTTCCTATGAGATGATGACTTGTAGGTGGTACTTGGATGCTTTGGTTGGATTAGGTGTGGTACTTGGTCCAAAAAGTTTGAGAACCACTGCATTTAATTAATCTTGATGTTTTACTAGGTAAAATTTTAATACTGAACACAAATAAGGTGTTAATTTGACCTCTTTGACCTCACATTTAGTTAATTTTTGTTTTTGTCAGGGAGAAGATGGATTCCCTGGCTTCAAGGGTGACATGGGCCTCAAGGGTGACAGAGTAAGATTTCATGTTAATTTTTGTTTGTTTCAGTCAATAAGCAGTTTGACTTTACACAAAAGAGCTGCTTTAGCATTTTTTTGTTAGAAATGTCTAGTGGCATATGACCTGGCTTAACGGTTGGTGTATCATATAATTTAATTAATAGTATAATGGCAGTACCGTCTGTGAGAGACTGAAACACAGAAATGTCCACCTGCAGAGTCACTCATTCTGTGGCACTTTGAAAAATCCACAGCATCTGACAGGAGAATCAATACTGGTGACACATATCTTAATAGCATTACTGAGCCGCCTAATGAATCCCAGACCTTCTCCATATTGTTGTTCACTGCTTGGGGATCCCATTCAAAGTCAGCTGGTAACAAGGCCTAGACTCCCAACAGGCAGCATCTGGGCTGTTGGCCTGAATCTGTGTTCTTAGTGCATAAACGAGCAAGTTACTTACCATCTGAGCCTCACCCCCCATTGTACTAGTGCCCCCCCCCCCCATTGTACTAGTTTAGATACCACATTTGGACCCAGTGTCCAATTACTCCACATCTGATCTGATTCTAAATATTTTTTTTTCTGTTTAGAATTTTTATTTAAAAAAAATATAGGTATGTTTTCCCTTTTTTCCCTCTGACATAGTTTTAGTGTTATAATAAGACCTATAAATTAAGTTGTGCAACTTAGTGTGCTTATCGTTTATAAATAACAGAGCAGTTTTTTTTAAATAATTCTGTCTTTATTATAAGGTTAAAAATAGTTATTTTTTTATTCTTGCCAAGCATATGCTTATAACTAGGACATATGCAACTTTCTAATAAATTAAAAAATGGGCACTCTCTTCATAAAAATATGTTCTTTTAATTAGAGGGAGCAATTCATATGCTTTTGCAATCCAAATCCTTTATTCTTTATTTTTCTCAGTTGTTCATTGCTCTATAGCAGAACACAAATATTAGATTGTATATCAATTCTTATCAGATTGTGCTGCACACTCCTATTCCCTTCTGTACTCCCACATTTCAATTACTTGTATTATCCCTCAGACAAGATGACTTCTTTTATGCCTTGTTTTAGCTGGAAAGCTAAAATATTTTCTGTGCTGTGTCTAGAAACATTGCTGCAATAAATGCTAATGAAATCCTTATGGAGAAGATGTATAGTTTTAATGGAGACACAGGCAGAATTGACAAGACAGATTTAAGGCAACACAATACAATTTTTAGCAAATAAAAATTAAGAGAACAGAGCTTCATATGAGCTTCACTCCTGGTTGCTGACATTGTGTGAATATCAATGATGTTACCGGCTATTGTGTCAGGAAATGAGGAGTCTTGATTTCTGAAAAGAAGCTTGAAGAAAAAGAAAAGCTGTTTTTTGGATTGCATCATATCCAATAAATACTAATAAATCCTGAATAAAACTATGTTTGTTTGTGACCAGTTCCTAAAGTACAAAAGAAAGGTAACCTTCATGTAGGCTAATTAATCTGTGTTTTTTGCCATTAGAACATTCTGGAGTTAAGGCACCAGCTGTGCTAAAAAAAATAACAAAGCAGTGGTTTGCGTCCGCAAATTAAAACATAATTGTTCTGGAAGACATTTGTATATAATTATTTGCTGACAGTAGATGTCAGATGTCAGATGTCAGACAATACAATGGGTTTTTCACAATCCTTTCAATGTCCCCCACGCAAGTTACTAAATGTTACAATTATTCATTCCAGTGAAAATGGGTTCAATATGTCTTATTTTTCCAAGGACTAGATGAATATACGATTTACGATAAAGTCACTGTAGTCACAAAACATTTCAGTCAAATACATATACTCAGTCAAAATACATTGAAAAAAAAATAAGACAACCAGAATCTCTGACTAGCTACAGTATATGTTAGAATAGCCCAGAATGGAAAAAAATCGATAAATTTCCACATCCTTTCCAAACGGAATACTGGTTACAATACATGTTCTATAGGCAATTCAGAATCCGATGATACAAGAGGATTGCAGGCACACTGAACTGGAAGACATTTCAGACAAGCTCTTGGTCTATGTTTTGGAACACTATTTTTATTTCATTTAAGCATTTAGTAAATATAAATATCAGGTAAATCATAATAGTAATTCCAACAGAAAGACTTGTGTTTGATGAAGGATTATTCTGCCTGCCAGGTGAAATTTATAGAACCAGGCCTTCCAACGTACTGTATGTTGAAAAAGATGACATCCACAAGCTTTAAAAAATTGATTTTGTTGTTCAGAAGGTCAGCATGAAAAAGTTAAAGGCATTCACTCTGAATAACTTTACTCAGATCTATTATAGTATATACTGTGGCAGCTAATTGTATGAAGAAATAACGAAAGAGGTTTCAAACTGCGTTGGGCAGTAGATATAAGTAGAGCCAATTAGAGAATATAGCTTGAGAAAGCTGTCTTATATAATGAAAAACCAATGCGTGTTGCTTGTTCTACACAGTATACTGTATTTACAAAGCAATAGAGTTTCAACTTATACTAGAAATGAATTATAGTGATCTGAGCTGCATCCATATCATCCTTGACAACTGACATTTTGACAATTTCATTAAAAATCATATTGATATAGACAAAAGCTAATTAAGTGTGAAATAGATAATATTCAGCTCCTGTAAAAGTGCTTCCATTATTTAACGAGCTTAATCATGAGTATTGGTCTGCACAGGGAGAGATTGGGCCAGCTGGACCAAGAGGAGAAGATGGTCCTGAGGGTCCAAAAGGCAGGGCTGGCCTTCCTGGTGATGCTGGTCCTATTGGTCCATCAGGAGAGAAGGTGAGTTTGGTCAATTCACTTTTTTTCTATAATTTCTGCTTACATTACTTGGTATATTACTCATTTGTTAAATGTCAAGTTTTACACATAATACTATAAAAGATGACAGATAAAAGCCTTGACTAGGCAAAGGACAAAAAGTTGTGTCCTATCCAGGGAGATAAGTGGACATCAACATACTCTCAGTCCCACCTTGTTTGGTTCTAACACAATCTTTGTATTACTTCAACCATCACCAGGACAAATTGCTCACTGATAATGAATGGATTATATATTGTATAAAATATACAGTATGTCTCGATTAATGTTTACTTGTTTGGTTATTTGTTGTTTTAGGGTAAACTTGGTGTCCCTGGATTACCGGGATACCCTGGAAGACAAGGTCCAAAGGTAAGTAGTGTTGGCAGTTTTGCCAGTTTTTGTTCTTAAAATAGTGACAGAATGCATCTAAAGAACACGGTAGAGTATGTTTCTAGCCTTTAGCTGTTAAAACTCACAAATAATTTAAAAGAATTCGATCAGCAGGAGAGTCGTATTACCTTATCTAATACATGAGCTTCCTACATCAACTGAGAATCTGATCAAAGAAAATTCAAAATAATAATCCAGTTTAATGCCTGATGTATTTCATACAACATGCTGTAGTATTTTTTTTTTTACCTCTGATTGAAAACCAAAGTGTAATTATTGCTGTAACATTTTTTCTCTACAGGGATCTCAGGGATTTCAAGGTTTTCCAGGAGCCAATGGAGAAAAAGGAACAAGGGTATGTGTGAAGTGATCTGTTTCTCTAAGGTGTGGGCTTTAATACTAATACTCCAATGGAATGCTTGTTGTGGATAAGTGCAGTTTTAAGTCACCACTTGTAAAATATGACCTTGGACATTGGTGGTGCTGTTATTAGTATTACATGTATTGCAAAACTGGCAACGTCCAGTTTATTTATCCAAAAAGTATTACTGTACATACAATATTCAACTGTTTTGCGTTAGTTACATCTTGGATTACCTTTATTCCACTTACTCATAATAAGAAGAGTTAGCTGTCAGTATGTCTAGATCATTTTTATATTTATAATTTTTTTAATATTATGTGAAGAGTGCATCAAAGATTTGGAAGATTATGTCTCAGCCATTAAGGCCAAAACTGTTGTCATGTTTTGATATAAAGCCTGCTTTAAGCAGAAATTGTGCATTGATTTTACATCAGATAAAAGGGCTTCTGCCATTGAAGAAATATTAAAGCCTCCTCCATTTCAGCTAATGCTTTCATAGTGTACTTTTCCTTCTAAAGGAAGACACTTTACTTTATTATTTGTGCTTCCATTATGTTTCATTACACTAGACATAATCTCTTGTCTGTCAGGTTTCCCTTTACCAATCTAACCTACAACTAAGAAACTACTAAGTTTCTGATCAAACCTCTTCTTTCTTCTCCTTATCCATAGGGAACAGCAGGAAAACCAGGACCAAGGGGACAGAGAGGTCCAACAGTAAGCAGTTTGTCTTCTTTATTCATAATGCCATAATGGCAATTAGCATAATTAAATTTAAATAATTATACATAAAAAGACATTTGCAATGAAGTCAATTTGTATAAATATAGCAAAAGGTATCTGTGTTATTATGGACATTGGTTTCCTCCTGTCTTTTAATAACATATTTACTGATGTCTCTTAATTGTCCCTACAGTATGTGTGTATGCATGTATGCGTATGCGTGTATGATGGACCAGTGTCCTGTCCAGGGTGTAGTCTTTCCCTGTGCCTGTGTCTGCTGGGTTAGGCTCAGGCTTGATGTAACCATCCATAGGATGAAGATTAATAGGGAGGTAGATAGCCAAAGGTAGCAAAGTTATACTTTGCGGGCTGAAGTTTCCATGTGCTTTTCCTGTCAGACCACCCAGGGCTTCATTTTGTACAAGAATCCAGGAGTAAATGCTTTTTTTCCATCTCTCATTTCCTTTTTCAATTTGTTTCAAGGGTCCTCGTGGAGAAAGGGGCCCTAGGGGGCCAACTGGAAAACCGGGGCCAAAGGTTAGTGTGCCTGACCTTTATTTCCCATTTGTATTGCATTCTTTCATTCTTAAAATGGCACTTATTATTCCTTAAACTGTCACCTTTCTAACTGGATTGTCTGTTCTCTGTTCCTCTCAACAGGGAAACTCAGGAAGTGATGGTCCGCCAGGGCCTCCAGGTGAAAGGGTATGATAAGCTATGATTACTACACTCATTAGAGAGAAATTACTTTTTCACTCTGCTCTTTTTATTGTTTTGTCTTACCTCAATTTTTAGGATAAGAGTTGTAGAAAGAATGAGAGAAAATATGGCTACAGTGATGTTTTGTTTTATTTTTCAGGGTCTACCAGGACCTCAGGGACCTACTGGATTTCCTGGACCAAAAGGCCCTCCAGTTAGTACCTCTTTAAAACAGAAACACCTCACCAACACACTTTTCAGGCTGCCTGATACCCAAATGTCCTGTGAAATGCCTAACTGAGCCATTAATAGAGAATACTTCATCTTGACCTTCTAATAATAAAATAACTATGAGATGTACAAGATATTGCTGAGTACCAATAGTGTACCATACAAGTTTTTCTTATTTTTAGAATATGAAACAGTTTTTTTCTCTTTGCTAATGGTTGAACTACATTTCTGAAGATTTGAATCATCAGATTAGAAAGATCTACTTGGTTAAATTGTGAGATGATCTTTGATGTTTTCTGACTAATGTATATGTCTGTTTCAGGGCCCAGCTGGAAAAGATGGGCTCCCTGGACACCCTGGTCAGAGAGGTGAAACTGTAAGTGCCCTTCTTTACAGTTTTGTCTCACTACAAAACTGTACAGTGCCATCCTCTGGAAGAGTTGATCCACAAATATGGAAAGAATCATAACAGTAATTTCCACCATAATTGTACCCTTGAAAATACTGCTAATTAAAATTCGACATTGAGTCTTCAACTCAGAGTGTAAATGAAGTCTTGGAGGTAAGAAAGAGAAATTATTTCCAGTGTTTCCTCACACAACTAAACAACTGACAGACTGGATATCACAAGAAAAGGAAAAACTGAACAGAAGTAATAGGCACAGAGGAAGAAAGGAGGTAGAGGAAGATTGACAAGGAAGATGCTTTTGGATCATTACCTTCTGTATTCATTCACGTGGTGGGTGTTTTAGGACAAAGTTCATTGCTGGTTTATGAAGAAAAAGTAAAGTTTTATTCCACGCTGAAAAGAGAAGAAAAGAAACACAGTGTTTCAGCTGTGGAGCCTTTTTTGGGTGTTTTTTTCTTCTCTTTTCAGCATGGAATAAACCTTTACTTGTTCCTTTGCAGTCTACGCATACTGATGTAGCTACCCAGTTGAACTAATTGCTGGTTCATGCTTGTAAGCATTCAGTTGCTCACTCACCCTTTTATTGTCCTATCTACAGGGTTTTCAAGGCAAGACAGGTCCTCCCGGGCCACCAGGTGTAGTCGGACCCCAGGTAAGTTACCTGGAGACTTGGTACACCTACTGTACCTTGTTCTCTCACCTAGCCAGAGAGACACATTGTATTGGAATCTAAATATATGTGGCTCATCAAGAGACATGCTTGGTTCCTGTGGTGCTGTTGATAGTAGAAATAAGGGAATGAAGAGTTCATCTGCCTCATGGAATTCGTTCAACTGATAATAAGTGAAGTGCTAAATCACGTTGGGTCTTTCTTACATATCAGTACTGACTATGTTGCAGAGGGATTGGAAGCAGTAGGTAGGTATGGGACAACAGATAAAATAAATTTGGACAAATTGTAATTAAAGTTAAATTCAAAATTTAATTATCTTAGCTTATTACTGTACCTCCCTCTTGAACCAGCAGTAGCAATAGGCAGATCAATAAACAAACCTGAATTATTCAGAGGTGGATAGTTTGATAAAATGCTAGTGAAAAGTAAAAACATGCAGCATTTCAAATACAAGGGAGCACATTAAACAACATTTCTGTGACCTTACATAGCAAAATTATGATAAGCTATGAGCTATGAGACTTTCTTAGATTTTGTATACCAGAAAAATCTAATAATAGAAAGTTGGCTTGTTATAATGAGTACAAAATATTAAATGTCTAAAAGGATAGAACAAGATTTCTAAAACAGATAGCAGAGTGCACCATTTTGTACTTATAAATGTAATATAAATGTATAAGGAGAGTCAAAAGTCAAAATAGTGTCATAAAAAATACTATGGAGGGTGTCCTTTATAACAGGGCTACTCACTTTGCAGCTCCTCCAGTCCATTCCACCACACATTTTTCTATTATTGTATTCCATAATTGATAACAAGAATCATCAACATAAGGAGCTACAGTAGTTACAACAAAGTATAGCAAAGTCTGCTTTACAGTATTTTCTTATTGTAAATATGACACTTTTTGAATGTACAAAGTAAAATCTGTCTAGACATGGAAATAAAAATACATTTTCTGTAAAACAAATCAAAACAAAAAAAAGTTAAAGATAACATTTCTAAGATAAAATAAATTATTTCCACATAGTAATGTACAAAGTGAAGTTTAAAGATACTCATTGTTCTTAACAGAACAATCCTTTAAATATCAAATATTATTTCTGTTTAATTTGTTTTTAATTGTTAAAGGGTTGATTTGGGTGTATATTTTTTGTATGATACATGGAATTCTTAGTGAAAATTCAGGAGGGATGACAGAAACCAAGTAGATCTCCATCACCTCTGCTACTCTAATAGTAAATCTCTCTGTTTCCCTCATATTCGTCTTTCTGCTCTTGGTTAACTCCTCTCTCTGTATGGGGGCCCTAATTTTGTCTTTCTGAGGCCATATTGGCACTCAATCAAGCAAGTTAAGCTAAAGTGTCTTATGTCAGACTCCTCAATAAACATTCCTGAATGGAATTTCTTATTGGGAGATGTCATTCCACATGAATCTTGTTTTATGTTTTTATTGTGTAAAGGAATTTATGGTTAACACACCAAGACAGCTCATTTTAAAAAGGGTCCTACAGGATCCAGACCATGATATCATAAGCACATGGAATAATTTCAAATAAAAAAGCTATTGTCATCTGTAACTGGGCGGCACTACAAGAACAGGGTCCAGAAAATATTTATAGAAGTATCATAAGCCACCTGTTCAGGTGGCCGCCTACTCCACATTTAATTCTACTTGTGTTCCACAGGGTCCTACTGGTGAGACTGGACCAATGGGAGAGCGGGGACACCCAGGACCCCCTGGTCCCCCAGGTGAGCAAGGACTTCCAGGAGCTGCTGGGAAAGAAGGTGCCAAGGTGGGTCCTTTAAGATAAGACAATGGACATTATATATTTATGAGTGTATGTCATTGTCACTTTATCATATCGTGGCATAGTAAATGTTAAATGGCCAGTCAACATTTAAATAAGTAATTAGAAAAAGCCCCAACATAAAGTATGTGTTATGACTGCATTATCTTGCTTGGTGTTTTGCAATTGTAATATAATTTCAGTGGGCTATCATCTCCCAAGACTTGTCAGAACTGTTTCAAAACAATACTATAAGTGTTGTACTATAAACAATATATGTAAGTGCGAAGACAAACTGATCTGAGTTTTAGAAAGATCCAAGTTTGCCTTTTTTGTTGTTGTCTTAAAAGTTCAAGATGCAAGTTTAGGACTGTTCCTTTGAGCTTGAGCTTCAGCATTTCTTGTGAATTGGCCAGCTTTAAATGCTAATTGTGACTGAGCTGAAATTGTCATTTCAGGGCGATCCTGGTCCCGGGGGGCCACATGGCAAAGATGGCCCCCCTGGTCTTAGAGGTTTCCCTGGAGACAGAGGGCTCCCAGGTCCATTGGTAAGTAAACTGGAAGTGAATAATCAATGTGATTCACCTGATTGATTGGAAGTGTTCCCATTATTTTTTGAAAGTCTTCCACACTGCTGGTTCTAGAAATGTTGCTTTTTTTGTATTACTGCACATTAAAACCTCTGGAAAAATTTAGCAGTGAACCATTATTCAACATTAGAGATTTTAACTGAACAAAGAGTTTTAACTTCCATTTTGTGCTCACTTTACAATACTTGAATTCTTAATCCTTTCTCTCCTAATGGTAAATAAATTCATTTGCACACCCCAAGTGTTTTGTACTATGTATGTATTAAGTGTATGTTTGGGATAATTAAAGTTCTTTTTTATGCGGATGGATGTTTGAATTCATTCACTTTAAAGAGACATTCTTCATGTAGCAGTGGCTGCTTTGAAAATCCTGTTGGTTTTCAAGGTATATTTTCTTCTTTGCAGGGTGCTCCTGGTTTGAAAGGCAATGAAGGCCCCAATGGTCCACCAGGTCCAGCAGTAAGTACTGCAGATACACATTCTTGTAAAAGGAATATTCAAGTTTTTAACATTGTGTTTTGGGAAATAGTCATTTTGTGCCCTTCGATGAATTGGCATCCCACCCCGGCTTTGGTAGATTTTGAACCACTGTGACCCTCTGGCAGTTACTGGATGGATATGTATGATAAATTAACAAAAATCTAAATTGTTGATAGAAATAAAAAAAAGAGTGAAGCCAGGGAATACCACTGAGGAATCCAGAATAAATGCTTTTAAGAACTTAAAGTCTTATATGAAATTTACAATACACACCTGACAAACTACTGAAGATTAACAGGTGTCAGCCTGGGCAGTACCTGGATGGGAGACCAGAAGGTTGCTGCTGGAAGAGGTGTTCGTGGGGGCAGTAGGGGGCGCTCACCTTATGGTCTGTGTGTGTTTTAATGCCCAAGTATAGTGACAGGGACACTATACTATAAAAAAGGCACTGTGCTTTGGATGGGATGTAATACTGAGGTCCTGACTCTCTGTGGCCTGTAGAAATCCCAGGGTATTTCTTGAAAAGTGTAGGAGCCCCCCAGTGTCCTGGCCTAATTTCACATTGGCCTTTACCAATGTTGGCCTCCTAGTAATCCCCATCTATGAATTGGCTTCATCACTCTGTTCTGCTCCCCATTGATAGCTGATGTGTGGTGAGTGTACTGGTGCACTATGGCTGCCATCACATCATCCAGGTGAGTGCTGCACACTGATGGTGGTGGAGGTAGAGTCCCCATTACCTGTAAAGTGCTTTCAGCGGAGTGTCACAAAAAGCACTATATAAGTGTAAGGAATTATTATTATTTAATTTGTTTTGGGTTGGAAAATGCACCATATAAAAAAATGCAGAAATCACAAATAAATATTATTATTGATTTGATTTTTTTCATTTTAATTTGATAGATTTTACATTTGTAAATGAAAGCAGATGATAACTAAAAGACTGGAGGTTGAAATGGAAATACTAGCCTGTCCCAGTGTTTGTCTGACATACTGTACATTTCTATTCATAGGGTTCTCCTGGAGAAAGAGGGCCAGCTGGCCCTGCTGGTCCAACTGGACTTCCAGGACGACCTGGACCTCAGGGACCCCCAGGCCCAGCAGGAGAAAAAGGAGCACCGGTATGAAAGGCATTCTTAAGCTGACATTAAAATGAAATCCTTTGTATTTAAAATCTATTGCAGATGCTAGATTTAGATGCATTGTCTATGAAGATCTGGGCTTTCTAACTTCATCTTTTCTCAACAATATTTAATTTTTCTTGTCACTGTTAAATACAGCTTATTTGATACATTCAAATTACAGTTTTCTAGAGGTTGATTAGGATGCTCTCTTAACATTTTATTCTTGTATTATGAATCTTGTATTCTTATTCTTGTATTGTAGTTATTTGGTGTGGGCTTTCCCAGTTTTATTTCTGGTAACAAAGACTTGACAAAGCTCTGACATTTAAATATGATTAAACATTTAAAATAAATAGAATTGCAGTTAAATATTTTTTCTTTGGTTGAGATTTATCATGCAAATAGGAGTATATTAAAACTGTACCTGTTATGTGTACCTGTTATTTGCACTAAGGATTATAATGCAACCATGAATCAAGTTGTAATTTATTTGTTTGCCTTTGCAAACTATTTCTTATAATAATCTCACTCAATGAGATAATCAAAAGCAATATCAAGTCTCTATTGCAGCTTCAGCAGAGAACAGTCAAAATATCATACATAATATCATAAACTAATGTGTCAAATGCCAGTGAAGGGTGCTCTGTTCGCGCTGAGGGAGATAAAAGAAAGAACAATCTTTAAGGTGGAATAAGATGACAAACCAATGTGATATTCTTATTCACTTGTTGAAATATCCATGTGGTTAAGTTACAAAATAAACAGAATAAATATATAAATATCATTATGTAAAAGCCACAAAATAAGAAATCACAGCAGAGTGTAAAATGTATACGTCACATTCATATGTATCAGTTATTTATATGTGCAAGTTATTTTCTCTTGCCTGTAGTCAGTTTTCCTTGAAACTGCTATTTTGTTTAAATTGATATCCGTTAATCCATTTTTTTAAATAAGTTCTGACAACAGCAGGTAGAGAAGCAAGCACAACGATTCGATTTCCATTTGTTCTAACATTTGTGCTCTTGGGGTTAGATTGAGAGCTGTGATGTATGTAAAAAAAAGTTTTACGTTATGATTTCCAATATCCTAATTTTACTGTAGTTTGAAAATGTAGTTTTTCCACATTTACTACTGACATTTTCATGAGAAATCTCTCCTGGTATTTGCTAATGTTTTCCTCCTGTAGTAAATGAGACGCACTGTAAAACAACAAAGTCAGCAAGAGAGATGCTTTCTCTCATCAGAAAGAAACATGCTCTCCTCTCTTGTATTCCAGGGAGAGAAAGGTCCACAGGGCCCAGCTGGAAGAGATGGCATTCAGGGTCCAGTGGGCCTACCAGGACCAGCCGGACCACTGGGACCACCTGGAGAGGACGGGGACAAAGTGAGGAAATGACAGGGCACCAAACAGGGCACTTACTGTATACTGAAAAAATAATTTCTGATAGATGTAGTAGCTGTTTCTTTTTATTTGTGTATATAAATCTTCCAATATAAAGGTTAGAATATACCAATACTTTTATTAAGACTGGAGAAGCCTTACCTGAAGATAATAAAAGTGATGTGTGGTTTGATAATAATTATAGTATTAAAGCTATTATTATTGAAAAAAATACAGTTTTATGAAAGGTTTTCAGATTTCACATTGTTTTATATACTATAAATTATTTTCAGTTTGTCATCAAATAACTTTGTTATTTGTACTGATTGAGCTTCTTTGTGTGGCAGGCTGACATGAATTCTTTCATGGAAGTCCATAGAATACTTGTATATCTGATAGAGATCAAAGTAGTACTGTATGTTTTCCACAAGGAATTTGTACTTGGTTGTTTAAACTTGCATTGTAGTTGTGCTGTTGTTTCTGAATAGATTAAATAGTAAACAGGGTTAGTGGTGCTGGGCAGGAGGCAGTACAGCAACCAGATATAGGTGTTACAAATGCAGCAGTTAATTGTTTTTTTTTCTATTCTAATCCCCTAAGACCAAGCATTTGTCAGGTCATAGATTTTGAAATACATTTAATGAAACATAAGGGAGTACCAAATATCTACAATAGAATGTAACCGTATTTAATATTTTTTACTTTTTTACTAAACTGCAGCATTATAAATCACATCAGTTATCAAAAGGGAAGCACCATTAGACACTTGGTTATATAAAACAAAAGGGATAAAATAAACTTTACCTGTAATGTAAAGTAGGTGATGCTACACACTTGCTTGACTGTTGATAAGCACATAATCCCCTTTCCTGCACCAAAAGCTCAGGAAAAGTTAAGCTCATCCATTTGATTTGTGGTAACAGACATCAATGCAGATGGTGACATCTGCTTACTCGGAAATGTAAACTGCAGACAAGTGCCAAATATCACAGCACGAGTCCCCTGTGATCCTCAGATCTGGCAAAGAAAAAAAACACACTGCCCACATTTGTTTGTCATGCAGAGAAAACAGTCAAGTCTGTGTGGTGTATAAAGTAGACAATATGAAATATTGAGATTAATTATTCATGTGTTTTATTAAACTTCTGGTTTTCTTCTACTAGGGTGAAATTGGTGAGCCAGGCCAGAAAGGAAGCAAAGGAGATAAAGGAGAACATGTGAGATTTTTGCTTTTCTTAACAAAGAGGTTGTGTACAATTGGCTTTTAGTAAGGTATTAGTCTATTTGCGCTGTTTCAGCTGCTAGTGAAACAGCGACCTCTGTTGGCTCATGGTGTCATTAGTGAGGGACATGCTTCCCTTACAGTAAGCACAGAACCTTTTAAATATCACTGAAAATGTTTAATGTGTCAAAGGATACATGGCTTAAAAAGATTGTCAGAGGAGATTGTCTGTCCTTATTCTCTCCATTTGGACAGCTATAAATGTCAGGCAAAAAGATGTAAAAAATTAAATTTAAAGATGGATGATGTTGAAGATTAAAGACGGGATAGTTTTAAAGATAAGAAAACTGGCATGTCCAGATTGGGAAGTTATACACTAAAAATAATGTGTGATTAAAGCATGTGAACAAATCATATGTACACTATGAAAGATTGGTGGAAAATAATGTCAACTATTGTGGAAATGTGCTCAATACATAAGGATCAATAAATACTATTATACCTAACACAATAAGTGATGAAATCCATTGAAGAGTTGACAACATTGCGTTTTTATAACTGTTTTTTCTGGCTACAAGTCTTAGAACAATCACACAATTGGGCCATCAATCCTATTTTACAACAATATACAGTAAATTCAAATGTTTGTAATAATGACTAAAATGGTTGTCCTACCAAAACCTTTATAGAGGTTTAATCCATTCTCATAGTGATGCGGAAAACTGTACTCGTTAATAAGTTGATAATATAAAAAGGAGATTTATCCACTTTTGGTATCATTTTTATATAGCCACACACTTTAATGGAGGTATCTCCATAAAAATTAGGCCCCTGCTGTAATAATTATGGTTACTTTTTATGGTCATTGCTCATTTTAGCAGCTATCCAGAATGCTAATGTTCACTACTTTGTTTCTCTAGGGCCCACCCGGTCCCACTGGTCCTCAAGGGCCAATTGGACAGCCTGGTCCAGCTGTGAGTATCTGGATGTATTTTTCTTTCATTCACCAGCTCCTTAATCTGCATTCATTTGACACACATTGCTTTTTAATGGGATACAAACCAGACTTTATAAGTGCTTTCAGATGCTTTTGTTAATACTATTAACTATACATTAATATAGCCTAGGCCCTCTATTAATGGATGCTTTAAGGTAAAGCACATGGCTAAAAGAGTGTGAGTATGACAGTGTAATTTCTTGGTTTTGGAGATTCTGAAATCTTACTGATCTTGACACTTTGATGGAATCCCTTAACATGTAGAACAATTTTGTTTTTTTTCATATATTCATCATGTAAGCCTGCTATATATATATACAGATGTGGATGTTGAAAGCTAAAGCTAAAAACATTAAAATGAAGTGAACTGAACAGTATGCTAAACCAAACTATGACACATTGCTAAAGTAAATTAGGTTGACAAACTCTTAGTTTTTACGATATGTTGAAAGATTTGTTGGTTTCAGTAGGGAAACTGTTGTCAAGGGAAACTGCTGGAAAGTCTAACAGTTCTATTCTTGAGTCATTGTGAGAACTCTAGGGTGGGTTTTGAAGAAGTTAAAAGATACTGTATGTGCATTCATGATTTTGGCTGATTTACAAATAGAGTGCTAAGTGATGCTGTTTGTGCTGTGACAGGGTGCTGATGGAGAGCCCGGCCCTCGTGGACAGCAGGGTCTCTTTGGTCAGAAAGGTGATGAAGGTCCAAGAGGATTTCCTGGACCTCCTGGTCCAGTTGGTTTGCAGGTAATGTCTGATTTCAAAGACTTTGTTGCCACGACTATCCATTTGTTGACAACACAAGACATGTTGTATAGGGTGTATTTTTAAAATTATCACTATAATTACCTTGCAACATATTCATATTCTTGATGAAATGTAGCTTAAATTTGATTAAGTATAAAAACAGTTGTCATTTTTCAAAATTTAGTCATTTAAAATGTGATAAATATATATAAGATCAGATCACTTTATCGGCCATATACAATTTCTTGTATTAGGAATTTGTCTTTTCACATATCCCAACTTGCTCTCCATGAGACACACAGATAGGGAGAGAGGCCTGGGGTCAGAGCACAGGGTCAGCCATTTTATACAGCACCCCTGGAGCAGTAGGGGTGAAGGGCCTTCCTCAGGGACCCAATAGAGTAGGATTTCTCTGCCAACCATGGGATATGAACCAGCAACTTTCCAGCCACAGGCGCAGATCCTTAGCCACAGATCCACCACACCAAGCCCTATGAAAGGAGAAGGAGTAATGCATATTTCAGTGGTATCTGAAGCTGATGTCACATAATGATCTTGAGTATGTGACAATGGCAACATAAAACCAAAGATGTAAATCTGCCAAAACAATCACCAGTTAACTCAAATGAAACCATATGATGTGGTTGGATGAAACACAAACTAGGGTACTGGACAGTCTCAACGGGAGCATTATAGTACAAAATGATGAAACACAAGATGAATATCTCTTCTATTCAGTATATAAATAAGTCTGTTCTGCTTACTACGCTTACTCTTGTACTACATTAGTTAGTATGCATCCTCTAATCCTGCTCTCCTAGGTAGAATGGAAGAACAGATGGATAACCAGGTGCTGGTGGCTCCTGTTAAAAAGCTTTGTCATTAATGGAATTTACTAAAAAAATATGTAAAGCATGTGTCAATCTCAATAACTAAGAGATTAATATCGCAATCAATGTTCTTGATTAGTTGATGTTATGAGTTGGAAAAAGTTAACAAAGGTGTTCCTGCAAAAGTGAAAATGTGAAGGAGGGGTGGAAAAAGTCAAGTGGAATGAGAAGGGGGCTTACTAAGGTATGTATTTATAACTGTTTAGCAACACATGTCAAGGCGGGTTTCAAGTTAGAGCTGCTGAGGTTAAAGACACTTTGGTTGCTGTCATTCCTTCAAACCATTAAGGAGCACCATTAAAGGTAGACAGAAATGGGTAGACAGAAAGCACATTTTCTTAAGAAGACCAAACAGATACATTCTCTGGCATAAAGGAATGGATGATACTGACAGGGTAAAAGAAATAAACCTGTATGATCTTGAACAAAGATCCCAATGTACTTAATACCTTTGTATTTCAATGCTAATTCTGAATAAGTACATTGGGTTGACTTTGTTGATGCCTTCAAGGATTTTGTGGAGGTTGGGAATACGCTATTTTTAAACCAGTACTTTGGTTTCTTCCAATAAAAAGGTGGATGGGGTCTTCAGATGGTTTAGATGGACCAAGTGGCCTTCTCTCATTTGTAACCTTGCTTCTGTTCTTATGCTATCAAAGTTAAAGGATGGTTCACAAAAGACTGAATAATCTTATAAATATATGTAATTGTTTTTGACACATTTTATTTATACATTTTTCACTGTATACAATTATTTAACTTTTTATTCTATTAGAATATTAAAGGTGTACCTGCCATATAAGTAAGATATTTATGCTTTACCTTTTCGACTTCTAATTACCATTCATAAAATAACTATATTTGGAACATAAGAAACATCAATGTGGAGGCTGCTGTATGCTTAAGACAGAATTAAGACAGAATTATTATCTACTGTAAATTTTTTAAACTTGGGGTTATAGGATATTGTGTCATAATCAGATATGTAAAGGTATTTTCATTCTTTCAGTTATGCTCTTTTATCATTCCTACCTTTTATATGACTTTTTTTCACAGTAATGTGGTCATAAAAGTATTCAAACATACTGCCTCAGTTTCCAGACTTAATTAATACATCACACAATTCAGTCTTCTGCTGCTCAACTAATTTTCTTGGATCTATTAAAAATCTGTTAAAAGAATGCACAATGTACCACGTCCTATGACCACATCAATGTACACGGCTGCTACTGTATTTAGTTTCACATAGCTAGTAAAAGAGATGGCTATATAAGGAGTTATGCACTTGAATAATAGTATCTTCCTCCTAATATTTCAGGGACTGCCAGGTCCACCGGGTGAAAAAGGTGAAACAGGAGATGTGGGTCAGATGGTAAGCCACGCTTTGCCCTTTCACACCTTTTGTTTTTTCCATTTCGTACAAGTCCTTTCTGTTGCTAAAAAGTGTTGTTAAAAACCCTAATTTTAACTTTGAAAGGAATATTTCACCAAGGAAATGGAGATGATTTCAACTTAACTTCTTTTTGTGGTGGTTACCATTTTCTTTGTTAGACTCCACCCCTAGTCTCTAGTTCCAGCAATCTTGCTACCATCAAGCTGCAATGTCAGTCTAAATATGGATTCATGGAGCTCAAAGATGAGATGTATATAACTGTCAAATCACAGTGCTAACTGATTTTCTCTGGAATTCAAGCTCTGAATACATTATCTTACATATTATGATTTACTCACTGCATATCCTTTTCATTCAAGGGCCCCCCTGGTCCTCCAGGTCCCAGAGGGCCCTCAGGTCCACCAGGAGCAGATGGCCCACAAGGACCCCCTGGTGGAATTGGGAACCCTGGAGCTGTTGGTGAGAAGGTGAGGAACCCCCCCCTCCCCCCTATTAAAAAAAACATTTCTCATCTCCGGTTATGTTAGCTATTTCTTTCAACTCTGTTGTATTTATTATATTAGGATTAATATGAACACATCCTACATAAATACACTTTGCATGTTAATCATTACTTTTTTTAAATTTAATAAAAAACCAGTGACCTAGAGGGAGAAGGATGGCTACCACTCAGACATTGTAAACATTGAGCCATTAACCAGCTGTTAGTTTTAGTATAAGTTTGTTTTACAATATTTCTTTGATTTTTGTGTTTTTTATTTGCTGAGTGTCATTTAATACAGTTCCTAAGATGTCTGTATGATATGTACACTTTCAGTTGACAGTATTTTCTTTCAGCATTAAACATCCCCCAGGAGTTCATTTCTCTCTAGAACAAGAGTTTTCTGCATACATTGTTGTATTTTTTATATAATTTGATCTCAAAGCCATTTCCATTGGAGTTTATAAACAGCAAACATGAAAGGTATACCTTTTTAAGGCAAGAAAATTAGTAATGTCATTATGTATTTTTGTAAACTGAAATGTTGAGAGCTGCAGGACCCATATGGGATTTCCATCTCTATTCCACAGAGCAGTTGCTTTTTCAAAAAAGTCATTGTCATCTATAAATCGTCATCATATGCTATATGAATAATGCATAATGGTAATTTTCAGAAAGGTACAAGAAATAGCTGTTTCCCTATTATTTGAGCTCATTAGTGTGATATATGGTAGCTACTGTACCTAACCTTCGACAAATTAAATGGACTTACAGGGGGTGGACAGAATAACGGAAATACCTAACAATATATTAATATCAAGAACCTAATAAAGAGTAGGGCCACCCTTTGCCTTCAGAACAACATCAATCCTTCTTGCATGTCATATAAGTCCTGAACTGTGTGTAGTGGGATATTACACCATCTTCGAGATGAAAAGCCTCCAATTCTTTGAGGGATGAAAGAGGTGGAAATCTACTTTGCACTCTGCGCTCCAGAACTTCCTATAAAGGTTCAATGATGTTAAGATCTGGTGATTGGGGAGGCCATGGAAGGTATTTGACTTCATCCTGGTGTTCATGAAACCACTCTTGAATTTGTTTAGCAGTGTGTATGGGGACATTATCATCCTGGAATATGGGAACATCCTGAGGAAACAGTGTAAAATGGCCTCATATTCCTTGGCTGTTATACAACCACGCAGAGCAATCATCAGACCTAATGACTCCCGCGAGATGGCTGCCTATACTATTACTTATCCCCCACCATGTTTAACAGTTGGCAACAGACATTGTGGGTTGAAGGCATCCTTTGGCTTTCTCCAAACGTAAACATGTCCAGATGTAGGAAATAGGGTGAAAGATGACTCATTAGACCATATAAGTTTTTTCAAATTGCTCAGGGATCCAGGTTTTGTGCTCCTTAACCTTGTGATCCAGGTTATGTGTCTTTGTGCGTTGACCTTGAATACAAGCATTTTCTTTTTGTTGAGACTGGGTCACAGAGGTGCCGATTCAATTCTGTGGTAATTTTTGAGGCTGTACTTTTGTGGCATTTGTTGGTGATCTTCGACTTGCGGCCACTATTCCTCTTTGCCAGTGCAGTTTGTCCATGTTTGTCATACACTGTCATTATTTTTTAGACTGTTCCCCTTGACACATTAAATACTTTTGCAGTTTTTGTGACCAATGCACCTGCAATTCGGACACCGGCTACTTGGCATCTTTGGAACTCTGTTAGTTGCCTCATGTTGCTTTGAAAACTCACATATCAAAGTACTAATTGTAGACCTCTTTTATAGCTGACAGATACTGCTAATTGACTATTAACCTAATATGACTCACCTTTGCAGCTGCATTTGTCATTGTGATTTAGTCACTTCAAAGTTTAACTCCTTTTTCATGTGGTGTTTTCGTTATATTGTCCACCCCCTGTATACTGTATATCTTACAAAGGTAACACCTTTCAGGGTAATGGTGTCTTTTAAGTGCGTGCAATATCTTTGACATTTGGAAATTAAAATTACTATTAAAATTAGTTCAGTATGAATATATTTATCCGATGAATAT